TTCAATAATGAGCGTTCATTAAAACATAATTGAGACTTTGAACGTTAAAAATTGAACATTGTCCAATTATAATTTTACGCAATTTTAAATAAATAAAACCAAATCAACTTTATATAACGAGAGAAAAATAATTACATATCGAAGTAGCATCAAACACGAATTTCGAAGCGAAAATAATAATTTGGCTAATCAATAATAAATGATTGAAAATTTGTTTCGAAAATCCCGTCGTTTTTCCACTATATACACACATATATATATATATATATATATATATATATATATATATATATATATATATATATATATATATATATATATATATTTTTTACATTAGTATAAGCCCTCTTTTAAAATTTAAAATTCATGTTGAGTATATTCACAACAGCAGTTAAAGTTTGATGCATCAGTAAACGTGCTAGCTGCAGAACGAATTTTAAATATCCTGTCTCCAATGCACATCATTGTGATTGCACAATTTTTTAGTTGAAAATTTTATATAGTGATAAATTATCGTTTGAATATAAAGAATCGTTAAAATATCCGTATTATAAAAAAATAAACGAGCAACAATAAAAGTCTATATGATTTATAAATTGCTACTTTTGTCACATCATATATATATATATATATATATATATATATATATATATATATATATATATATATATATATATATATATATATATATATATATATATATATATATATATATATATTGTATGGAAAAACATAAAAACTAAGCTTAAAAAAGTCGCATTAAAAATAAATCCTCGATAAAGTATAAATATACTTGAAATTGTAATTTAAAAAAAAATAAATAAATAAAAAAAATAGTAAAATAGATCAACAGTAATAATTTTCGAAAGAAGAAATTTTAAAGCCAATGGATTTTCGTGGCTTTCAACTCTTGAAATCCACGTAACAGAAATTCAATTTCATTCGTCAGAACCAAGACGTTAATCGAAAGCTCTTGAAATCCCAGAAGCCTGTTGAAGACTCCTTGAAAATTGTCTCTTTTGGTATTTTGACGCCGAATGACCAAAGAATCAAGCTCACTATTTTTAAATTAAATTAGAAAATTCCCAAGTAACATTTTAAATACTTCAAGTTGCAAATAATTTACAATTTTTCGACTCCTCAGGCCACAAAAATTTAATTTTGTTTTTCCCTGACTTTTCCCTGATTTCAAGACAAAAATTTTGACTTTTTCCCTAAAGAATATTCTGCGATTCACTCAAAAAACTGATTAGATACTCAAAAAAATGTTCTATTACATTTATTTACGAATTTCTTTAACTGTAAAATTATTCGAAAACAGCAATAATAACTTCTTTTTTTACAAAAAAATATTTAATCATTATTATTTTTCCAAGGAAATTAAGATTTTCAAAATATTCAAATTCAAATCATTTTGAAATTCAACAATTTATAATAATTAAAGATGATCTAGGGATAAAAGATCATTATTTTCTACTATAAAAAATATTTTTACTGCAACTTCTTCAAAATTATTTTCATCATTTCAATTCAATTATTATTTTCTAGAATTTTTAACTAAAATTCTTCTTTAAATCAATTATTTACAATAATTTTTAAAAAAAATTCTGAGAATATTCAAATATATTTATTTACAATTCAATTTTACGAAATTTCATCGATTATTCGGAAATTCTTCAATTAAATATATATTTGAAAATAAAAACTTCAAATAATTTCAATTAAAGTTTTTGAAAAAAATTAATTCTACAGAATTTTTAGTTAAAAATATGAAAAATTCAGATTTTCAAAAATTTCAATTTAAAACTTTTTCAAAATTCAATTACTTCTAAAAATTCACGCTATAATGCTTTTAATATTCAATTATTATGTAAAATTGTAACTGAAATTCACTTAGATCAATTTCTATTAGAAAATTCTACAAGAATTCAATTATTTAAATAAAAAAATAAATAATTTATATTGAATAATTGAATGTTTCTTAATATTGAATTCTTATAAAGAATTTTATCAACAAACTTTTAAATAATTAAATTCTTTCGACGAATTTTAATAAAATTTTTAAAAATAATTACATTTTTCGAGGTATTTGTTTAAAATTGTACTAAAAATAATTGAAATTCTGCGATGAGTTTGATTATTTATGAAAATAACGAAATTATTGCGAAGAAATTTATAAAAAATTTGTAAATAATAGAATTCTTGTAAAATTATTTTATTATTTATGAAAATAATTAAACGTTTGCGTAGAATTTTAGTAAAAAATTTTTTAAATAATTGAATACTTTTTGGAAAATTTTATTAAAATAATAGATGTTGAATATACCTAATTGAATTTAGAAAAATTTTTGCAAATAATTGAAATTTTGCCAAGAATTTTATTAAAATTTTTGAAAATAATTCAATTTCGAAGAAGAATTTTATTATCTATAAAAAAAACTTAAATTTTGACGAGAATTTTTTTTACTTTTTGAACATAACTGAATTTCTGCGAAGAATTTTATTATTTTTGAAAATAATTGAATTTTTGCAATTATTTCTAACTTCTCCAATATTCAAATTTTTTTTATTGTTTTTACAAAAAATTCCTCGATAAATTCATTATTTTTAACAATTAATTAAATAAATATCTTACAAAATTTAACTGATTTCAGAATTATTCAAATTTTGAAAATTTTTGCAAAAATTTAAATTCTTTAGAATTTCTAATATAATTCATTCAAAATTGAAATTTTGTAAAATTTGAAACTAAAATCTTTTCCAGTTCATCTATTTATGAAAATTCTAAACGAAACTATTTTAAAATTCAATTAATTTTGATATATTTAAATAAAATGATTCATTAAATAATTTCTAAGTTATAATTTTATGATAATTCTTCTTTACGATATCTATATTATTTAAATCATTAACATAAAAAAACATTTATATTATGTCGTGGTGTTAATCAGAAATAAAACTCAATTCTATAACATTGAGTCTAAATTTTATGATTACACTTTGAAAAATATTTCAAAAAAAAAAAGAAAAACTTGTTTACTTTTTATTAGAAAAAGGTGAAAAAGGGGACAAATTAGCAAAAAAGGTGACAAATCGTCAAAAAAGGTGAAAAAGGTGATAAAATTGAAATAAGAGGACAAAAGGGGACCAACTGTGATGCCTGACTTTTGGAAAATGATTTTCTTTTAAAAAAACATTTTTTTTCTGAAAAATAAATTAAAACTATGGAAAAATAAGGGACTAACTCTAATTATTTTTCTGATTTTTCAATAATGGAAAATTAAGAGTTGAAAATTGATAACAATAAGAGAAAGTTATAGACTTGAAGAAAATTATATATACGAGAGCAGAAAAAATAATAAATTCCGAAATTTCTAAAAATCGAGAACTGAAGAGAAAATTCCGAAAATGGGAGTTACTTGAAGAATTTTGTCTCCAAATTTGAAAAAGTTTTTTCATTAGAGCCACACTAATAAATTATATGCAAGATCACCTTTTACAAGAGTTTAGAGAGAGAGAGAGAAAGAGTGAGAGGGGGAGGGGAGAAGGAGAGTCATACAAGAGAGTAATGGAAATGGGCAGAGAGTACGTCGTGTCGAGTGCAAGCTGCAAAAACGGCTGAAACATCTGCTTCCTCCATTTGACCACAGACTCGTTCCATTTTCTCTAATTTGCATGATATGATTCTCCCTTTTTCTCCACACACACATACACCAAAAGCAGCCTACTTTCAACCTTTTCCTAGACTTTTTCTTTTATTTCAAAGGACTCCGCCACCCATTGTAATTGTTTCCACTTCAAACGAACCTGAGCTTAGCCAACGCAACGAAAATACTATTACTTTAACTAGAAAATCTAATTTCATTAAAAAAAATCACTACATTTTTTCACAATAATAATTCTAATAATCTTATAAATACTTATGTTTTTAATATTTTAAAAACGAAAAATTAACTTAATCAGTAAGAAATCAAATTAAAGAATTAATTACTCGATAAATAATCGAATCAAAAGATTAATTACTTAATTCTTTAATAATTGAATTAAAGAATTAATTACTCGATAAATTATCGAATAAAAAGAATAATTACTTGCTTGATGAATAATTGAATTAAAGAATTAATTGATAGACAATCGAATTAATTAATTGATAAAAATCAAATTAATTAATTGATAAAAAATCAAAATTAATTAATTGATAAAAATCGAAATTAAAGAATTCATTGACAAATAATCGAATTAATTAATTGTAACTAATTCTGTGTATGTCAAATCACCCCCCGAAAAAATTCACAAACAATAAAATTAAATATCAAAAGAAATTTCATAAAAGAATCAAATAAATCGGAATGTGTGTAATTAAAGAGAAAATCCCATAGTGACGAAGTGGATGATAAAAATATTAAAAGCTAATTATCTGAAAATGATTAACTTAATAAAAAGATAAAATTTGCGCTGTACTTTTTTACCTATAAAAGAAGAAAAAAATTAACAATAACCAGCTCTAATCTAATTAACTTCTTTTGCTACTCTTATTAATAAATCAAATTATTCAATAATTAACAGACAGTAAACAGTGAAAGAAGAACTAATTTAATTAATTAAAAATTGAAGAGGTTTTTTTTAATTTATTTTAAAATACGGAATCAAATATATATTTATGTATTTCAATTTCTTTATTTTACTTTCATTTAGTTTAATTTATTTTAATTTTACTTTTTTTTAATTTTATTCATTTTGATTTTATTCATTTTAATTTTCTTTATTTTAATTTTATTTCATCATTTTTTTAACTTTATTTATTATTAGATTCTATTTACTTTGATGTTACTTTTTTTTATTTTATTTATTAGTCAATAAAAATCCACTTTATAATTGCAAGACTATTTTAAATTGAATTAATATATTAATAATTCAATTAAATGTCACTACGAGATTTTCCCCAAGTAATTTACAACTTACTTCCGCCACACTTCTATATAGAGGCAAGAGGGACTTACCAATATTATCCTCCACAAGAACCAAAGTGCAAACAACGGGAAATCCACTTCAGTTGAATATCGAAGATGCATGATGAGAATTTTTTTTCCATTAATCCAAATAAGTTGAATGAACTGCTAATGGAACTTTAGCAAACTCCTGTCCTTTGCATATGGAACACCATAATTCACTGAAAAAGAACCTTAATTAATATACTGAAATAAAAGTAAATTGATAAAAAATTGATAATTTCGAAATATTAAAGATAAAAGCAAAAAAATGACAAAGTAATTTTTCTAAAAGGATAAAAGAGAAAATATAAGCAGTAAAAAAAGAAAAAAAACCAAAGGTGTCAAAATTTGTTAAGATTTTCATACAAAATGAGAAAAAATTATATTTAAAAAAAATACTTGCATTCTTGAGACGAATTTTAATGATATATTGCTTTTTAAATAATTGAATTCTTTCGTGAAATTTTATTGAAATACGTAGATATTAAAAATAATTGAATTTTGATAAATTATTGAAATTAATTTAATTCTACGAAGAATTTTATTAAAATTATTTTGAAAAAAAATTGAATTGTTAAAAAGAATTTCATTAAAATTTTTGAAAATAATATACATAAAAACAATTGCTCGAGTAACATAACCTCAAATCATAGGCAATTTTCATATCAACATTTCAGAAAGAAATATTTCATATTCATCAAGTTTGTATGAATAAAAAGATTCATTTACTGCAAAAATAACATTTAGTACCAAAATATTGCTGAAAAAAGAAACAGATACCTTTTTTCAACAAAAAGTTGGGAGCTGCACGTAAACACCATTGTCGTCCGGCAACAAATGAATCTCGTCTCGTTCCCTGGAAATAACAATGAAACATGTAAAGTAAATTACACTCAATTATCACCGAATCTTTGTCTTTTTATTCGTCAGGAAAATCATCAAGTAAATGAAATTTTCCTGCAAATGAAAAGCAAAATTTGACAAAAAAAATAGAAATTCTGCACTATTTTCACTACAAATTAGACACAATTTCTGAATCGAATTTTGATGTGAAACATTCGTCATTTAATTAATTTTCACTAAACAAAAGACTCACACTCATGTTAATTTATATTACGATACAAAATATTGTAGAAAATAATAATAATTTTAGCTTTCTTCGATCAGAAGTGTGAATCAAAAGGGTAAATAACGCAAAATGTCAAATTTCCAAAATGGCGTCTCATCCGTTCCCATGGACCGGAAACAGCAACTAAGCTCCCTGATTGGTCCCACAAAAGGCGGGTAAACGCAAATACTATGATTGGTTGATATTTTAAATAAAAATTATTCCTAATTTAAAATTATTAGCGGCAAATTTAAAACTTGTAATTTAATAATTTACATTAAAAATAATTTAGAAAAATAAAAAATTATATTATTCAAAAAAATAATACTATTATCTATAAATATATGTATAGATATTATAATTACGAATTACTAATAATTTAAATACAATAATTAACGGAAACAAAAGTCCACGAAAATTTCAAAAAATGGAATTCCTATCAAACTTTCCGATCGGACTGTACCTGACAATTTTTTTCTTTTTTCTAAATTTAGAAAAAAGAAAAAACACCAGCGTATTTTATTCATCAAAAAGTACTTAAATGTTGTAAATCGTGTAGTTATACTAAGATTTTCAAGAAAAATGAAAAAAAATTATGTTAAACAAAAAGTTGGTACAATTGGTACATGTAACATAACCTCAATTTATGGACGATTTTCACATCCATATTTAGCAAAAAAATATTTCATATTCATCAAGTTTGTATGAATAAAAAGATTCATTTACTGCTAAAATAACATTTTGTACCAAAATATTGCTGCAAATAATAAAAATAATACCTTTTTTCAACAAAAAGTCGGGAGCTGCATGTGAACACCATTGTCGTCAGCGAACAAATGAATCTCGTCTCGCACCCTGCAAAATGGCGACAAAACATGTAAAGTAAATTACACTCAATTATCACCGAATCTTTGTTTCTTTTTGCACATCCGGCAGGAAAATCACCAAATAAATGAAATTCCCCAACAAATAGAAGGCAAAATTTGACAAAAATAGAAATTACGAACAATAATTATGATTCGACACGCAATTTCTGTGACGAATTTGAATGAGAAATTTTTACCATTTGTGTGAAATTTTTACCATACCAAAGGCTTTTTCTCTTATAAATGTACAATAAGATGTAAAATATTGTTGAATAGAATATTTTTACCTTTTTTTCGATCAAAAGTTGCACAAAAGGACAAACGACCTCGCAAACGACGCCACATGTTGAATTTACAAAAATGGCGTTCCACGCGTTCCACCAATTTCAGGAACACTACTAGCGCCCTCTACTTTCCCGTTCTCTCATTGGTCGTTCAAAAGGCGGCTAGAGACGAGCACAATGATTGGTTGATATTTCAAATGATCGAAATTCGAATTTTCGTAATTTTGGTGGTAAATTTGAAATGTGTAATTTAATTATAATATTATTTATTAATAGTAATAATAAATTTACTATTAATTTTTAGTTTTTTTTATTTATTTCGTTTTACTATTTAATAATAGTAATAATGGTAATAATATTAATGCGTTTTGAATTTACCACAAATAGCAATGATAATTAATTGAAAAAAATAATAAAAAATGGAATAAAAATAATAAATTTTTAAATTATAAAAAGTACTTACAGTAAAAATGCAAAATATTTATTTTTCAGTTTTGGGCCGCTTACGTGCCATGTGACTCACAGCATCTCAATGCCGTGCAGATGACTTTGGAGCAAGTGGACCTCATCAAGAGGCTCATAGAGAAATACTCTCAGCATATGCAATTCGCTGCATCCTATAAAGGTAGAGAAATAAATTTTTTTAATTTAGAAAAATTAAAATTCTGTTATTTATTACTATTATTATTTTTATTATCATTATTACTTTTATTTCTTTTATTATATTATTATTTTTTTTTTTATTATTATTACTTGCTTTTTGTTAAAACTTTTTTAAATTTATTTTTAAAATTACAGTTCACAAATATTATTTTTTATTATTATTACTATTATTTTAGAGTTACTATTATTTTTATTATTCTAAATTACTTTTTCAATTTTCTTTTTTCTTTGTAAACCCGTTTAGATATTAAAATAAATAAATTAATAAATAAATTATTCTTATTGCTAGTATTTTATTATTATTATTGCTATTTTTATTTGTACTTATTATTCTTTTATACGGCCAAATAAAATTTTGTCAATTTAAAGAAATCAGTTTCTTAGACTCGATTTGTTTCATTAAAAATAAATTTTTCTTTCATACAAAAAAAAAGAGTTTTTGATTTAAACAAATTTTCTTTGAATACAAAAAATTTGTCAAAATTAAATTAAATTTAAATCAAAGGAATTTTATCATTGATATAGAATCAAAGAAATAATTTTTTAATCCCAAAAGAAGAATTTCTCCAAAACAAATAAATTATTTTTGAGTCAACGAAATTTTTTTCCAAACAAAGAAATTGATTTTGAATCAAAGAAATTATTTTTGAATCAAATAATATTTTTTTTTTAATCAAATATATCTTTTTTTGAATCAAATATATCTTTTTGTTATCCAATAAATTTTTTTGAATCAAATACATTTTTTGTATCGAATAAATTTTTTTGAATCAATTAAATTTTTTTGGAATAAAAAAAAACTTAATTTTCAATGGAAAAAAAACTAGTGAAAGCAAATTATTTCTCTAAGTCAACAAAAACTTTTTTTCTGAGTGAACGTGATTAATTCTTAGAAAATTGTTCGCTTCTTTTATTATTTGAGAAAAAAATTTCTCTTAGAAGGCAAAAATAAAGTTTGTAATAATTATGATAATGAGAAATAATTACCAATTTTAGAAATCCTGGAAGCCCACAACAGGGGTAGGATAGCATCTTTAATTGGGGTGGAGGGCGGTCATAGTCTAGGAAGTAGTCTAGCAGTTCTAAGGACACTGTACCAATTAGGAGTACGTTATCTAACTCTCACGCATACCTGCAACACTCCATGGGCAAAAAGTTCGACGGTCGAACAGAATGAGCAAATTGACGGTAAGAAATTACACTTAAAGTTTCATCCCTCCAGAGAAAAGAATTTTTTTTTTCCAATCAAAAAAGATCTGTAAAGAAGGAAAAACATTTTTTAATTACTCATTTTTAATGTAAATTTATTTTCATGTAATTAAAGCAAAGAAAAAGAATTTTCATTGTTTTAATAACAAATAAAAGAAAAAGTATAACAAATAAAAAGAATTGAGACGAATAAAAAGAATTGAAACAAAATATAATTCGTTAATTTATAATAAATAAAAATAGAAAAAAATGAATAGAAGCAAATAAAAAGAATTGAAACGAATAAATCGAAACAAATAAAAAGGACGAAACGAATAAAAAGAATCGAAACAAATAAAAAGAACGTAACGAATAAAAAGAATCGAAACAAAATAAAAAGAACTAAATAAACAAAATTAAAACAAAAATAACTAAAAGCAATTAAAATTAATCCCTTAATTAAAATTGGAATTAAATTAAGATTCAGTCGAATTAAATTCAAAATTAAATTATACAAATAACTTGAATTTCAGTGATTGTGCTTCTCATTAAGATGGAGAAATTATAATTGGAATATTTTGGAGATAGAAAAAATTTAATTTGAAATCTAATTAAGAGAATTTGAGAGAATAAAGAGAGAGAAAAAAAGTGTTTTTTTTTGTACGAATTTTAGGAGGACTGACCTCATTCGGAAAGGCTGTTATTCGAGAAATGAATAGGTTGGGGATGCTGATAGATTTGAGCCATACTGCAAGGGCAACTATGAGGGATGCTTTAAGAGCGAGCAAAGCACCTCTCATATTCTCACATTCTTCGGCCTTTGCTATTTGCAACTCATCGAGGAATGTGCCTGACGACATTCTCAAGCAGCTGGTAAGTGAACTGAACATCAATTTCACTTCAGGAACAACTCGAATTTCACTCCCGTTGTTTCTTGTCTTCATTCATTTTCAATTATCCATTCAATTTCCCTTCTCATTAAATATCCACATACTCATTTTCCTTCGTCTCTATTATTCGTCAAATATCTGCAAAAGAAAATTTATTATTGACACCAATTTCTTTTTCCTTTCTTCTTAAAATAAAATTAAAATTAAATTCCAATTTTTTCAAATTTTCTTCAATTCTTCAATTCTCTCAATTTTAAATAAGGAACAAATTAATCGAATTTATCATTTTCAGTGAAGAATATTCAATTTTTCAGGGCTTGAACTAGGTCCGTAAATTTGGTTAAAGTCCGTAAAAGTCAATTTAAAAAAAAAAAACGTCCGTAAAGTCCGTAATTTGTTTGAAAAAGTAAAAAAAATTCGTAAATTGTACGATATAATTTGGAGAATTTTTGAGAAGTTACAAATGATTGCAAAAATTCAATTATTTTCAAAAATAATAAAATTCTTCGCATAAATTCAATTAGGTTCAAAAATTAAAAAAATCTAGTCAAAATTTTAATTATCTTCATAAATAATAAAATTCTTCTTCGAAATTCAATTTTTTTCAATAACTTAAATAATATATTTGGAAAAATTCCAATTGTTATCAAAAATTTTCATCAACACAATGATTTTCAATATCTACTATTTTAATAAAATTTTCCAAAAGAATTCAATTATTTTTAAAAACTTTAATAAAATTCGATGCAAAAATTCAATTATTTTTAAAACTAATAAAATTCCTCGCAGGATTCCAATTATTTTGAATTCAATAAAATTTTTAATGAATTCCTCGAAAAATGCAGTTATTCTGAAAAATGTTATTACACTTCTTCGAGAGAATTAAATTATTAAAAAAAAATTTTTAATAAATTTCTTCGTAAGAATTCAATTATTTCCATAAATAATAAAATTTTCAATGGAATTCAATTATTTAAAACACAATTTTCTTAAAAATTTTCGTAAAAAATTAATTATTTAAAAAGATTTTAATAAAATTTTTTGCAAGAGTTTAATTCTTTAAAAAAATTAATAAAGTTCTTTGCAAGAATTCAATTATTTTTAAAAGCTTTAATAAAATTCGTTGCAAAAATTCAATTATTTTCATAACTAATGAATTTTATGAGTAAATAAAATCCATCGCAGGATTTCAATTATTTTTAATACAATTTTTAAATTAATTCTTCGGTAAACGCAATTTCTTCAAAAGAATTCAATTATTTAAAAAAAATTTTGATATACCCAATTTTGTTTATTAGAATTTGATAATTATTTTCAATAAGTACATTTTTAATTAAATTTCTTTAAAGAATGAAATTATTTTCAAAAATTTTAATGCAATTCTTTGCGTAACAATTTAATTTCTTTAAAAATAATTTTAATAAAATTCTTCGCAGAAATCCAATTAATTTCAAAAATTTGTCGAAATTCAATTATTTTCAATATCTACTACTAAAGTAAAATTTTTCTAAAGAATTGAATTATTTTTAAAAAATTTAACGTAATTTATTGATAGAATTCATTTATTTTTAAAAATTGTGATACAAATTTTCACATGAATTCCATTATTTAATTAATTTAATTTAAATTCTTTATAATACAATTTTAAATTAATTTAAAAAATTCAATTATTCTTGAAAATTTCATTAAAGTTCGTCAAAATAATTGAATTATTTAAAAATTTGTTGATAAATTTCTTTATGAGAATTCAGTGGTAAGAAACAATCAATTATTCAATTAATTATTTATTTCTGTATTTAAATAATTAAATTTAAATTCTCGTAGAATTTTCTAATAAAAATTAATTTAAAAATGAATGTTTTTAAAATTTTATATAATAATTGAATAAAAAAAGCATAATAGCATGAATTTAAAGAATAATTGAATTTTGAAAAGGTTTCAAACAAAAATCTTTGAAAATTTGAATTTTTCATCCTTTCAACTAACAATTCTGTAAAATTAATTTTTTTTTAAAAAAAAGTTTACTAATTGAGTTTTTTTGGAATTATTTCAAGTTTTTATTTTCGTTTATATATTTAATTGAAGAATTTACGAATAATTAGAATTTTTTGTAAAATTAAATTGTAAACAATTGGAATTGAAAATTGTCAAAGAACTTTTTCAAAAATTATTAAAAATAATTGATTTAAAGAATTTTTTTTTACTTTCAGTGGTTCGAGCCCTGAATTTTTTAAATTTAATTAAATAGTTTGTAAATTTAAAAATTCTAATTGATAAAATTGACAGAGATATATGTAAATATTTTGTAAATTCAATAAAAGAAACTTGTTTGCGAAAAGTACTTTTCCCAGTGAATTATATTGTGATAAAATTTCCGGTTAACTTTGCCTTGGATCTTATATACAGAGGGTTTTTGTTATTCGTTGCTCGTCGATTGCCTGAATAGAATAGATAATTATCTAGTTCAACCGAGTAAGTTCCCAATGGCTTGAAACAATTACGAGAAACAATTCCTTTCCACAGTTGAGTTTTCTAGACCATTAAGACAACCATAGCCAGGAGTTCGTTATTTGGATCTGAATTAGGCAGTGCTAAAAATAATGTTACGTACCTTCTCTCTCTTATAGTGTATTTTAGGATCCGATTAAACCATTTATGGCGGATAACATTCCAGATTCCACTATGCGACAAGGATAATTGCACATCAAGTTTCAACGATCCGAGATTATTCTGTTTAATTAAAATCCATTGTATAAATACCATTGGCCAATGGTATTTCTGAGGCGGATACAAAAAAAATCAATTCTCCTCCCAATTGTTCTTCTCCATTTTCCCGCAAGTTTATCCCAATAAATTATTTTTCATCGCAAGAGAGAATTGGAAAGAAAAAAACCTGTAAACAAAGAATGAAAAACATGAAATAAATGAAATAAATTTGTCTATTTTCATAAAAATTTTGCTGAGAAGAGAAAATAAATGGTAAAACTCACACAATATGTAGAAAACTACGCTCTCCGGAGTCAAGTCTGAAAAATGCTCGACAATGTTTTGTTGTTAAATGCAAATTGGAGTTAAAAATAGTTAAAGTTGATAAAATGGTGTCTCCAAAAAAAAAGCAGTAGGAAAGTCGAGAAAAATATACGAGTCGTGAAAAGTCTTTCAGTGGAAGATGTCAACGGCTTAAGTCCGTTAAATCTGAGGATTTATAAGCCGCCAAAGTCGAAATCCTGAAAATGTACCCCCGGGTATTAAGTATTCTATCCTCTATAGCAAACCGGCGATATCGAATCCTTGTAAAGTTTCAGTAGACGAAAAAAAAAATGATGAGTACCTTTTCTTCCTTCATGCCAGTCATCTGAAATTTTATTCAAGAAACTTTAGACACCATAAATTGTGACTAAATAAACGAGACACTGAAGAACAACACAACAATAAATCTTAACTAAACTTCAGAATATTTTTAACTTGATCTTTTTCGAAAGAAAAATCTTTCAGCATTAAATTTAAAGACAAAACTATTTAAATAATTAATTTAATGATTGTTTAAGTAATTAATTTAATAATTATTGAATTAATTAATTTAATAGTTGTTTAAATAATTAATTAATTAAATTAATTTCCATAAAGATATTAAATTTACAACTTTGAATTTTTGCCAGAAAAATATCTGTTAGGCTTAGAGAAAATTATCTCATCGATTTATTGTAATATTTGAAAAAAAAAAAATTCTGTGCAATTATTTACCTGAAATAGTTTTTCGAAACTGCTTGAAAAGTAAACTTACAAAATCCTCTTTCCGACAAAACGCATCGATCACGTCCTATCGCACACAAAACTGAGTAAACCAGTTTTACAAAATGCTGAAATTTATCTGATAGTAGACAAAAAGAAGAACTTTGACACTGTTCCATGATTTTGGCGCCAAAAGAACAGTTGAAAAAAAACAAAGAGGATTATGTGTAGTTTTAACCAAACAACTCGTTTCCGATTGAGAGGATAAAGTTTATCTGAAAACAGAGATAAACTTCATTTGTTACTTTGACTTTATTTTCAAAGAGAGGAAAATCCTCCCCTTAATAGCTTACAATGTTTCACTAACTTCAATTTCGTTTAATTATCTTCAATTTATTCCGATTTGAATTTTACATTTCGAATTTACACTTGTAAAATTTTATTTTCGAGTAAAATATCGTTTTACGTAAAATATATTGAATAAAATATATTTAGTAAAATATATTTAATCAGGCTTGTCACGCTTTTTCTCATTTCAAATTCCCTGACTTTTCCAGGTTTTTAAAACTACATTTGTTGCCAACAAAAATTTAATTTTGCTTTTCCCTGACAAAATTAAATTCCAGACAAAATTCTTACTTCTTGACTCTACAGAATATTCTCAATCAGTTTAAAAATTATTACTCAGAAAAATGTTCTACAGCTTCTTTTTTAAATAAATATTTAATTATTATTTTTCGATAGGAATTAAAATTCTTCAAAAGATTCAAATTCAAACCTTTTTGAAATTAAACAATTTTCAAAAAATTGTTATAAAACATGAAGATATCGATCACTCCGAGTCTTCGACTCGGAGCAATCGATATCTTCATGTTTTATAATAATAATTAAAGATGACCGACTGATAAAATCATTATTTTATATTTTATAAGAATATTGTTACTGTAACTTCATAAAAATTATTCTCATTTCAACTCAATTATTTTCTAGAATTTTTAACTAAAATTCTTCTTTAAATTAATTATTTTTAATAATTTTTGAAAAATTTCTTTGAAAATTTTCAAATTCTTTTATTTACAATTTAATTTTACGAAATTTCATCGATTATTCGGAAATTCTTCAATTAAATATAAATATTAGAAAATAAAAACTTCAAATAATTTCAAAAAAGTTCCATTAAACTTTAAAAAAAATTAAATCTACACAATTTTCAGTTAAAAGTATGAAAAATTCAAACTTTCAGAGATTATAATTCGAAACCTTTTCAAAATTCAATTATTTCTAAAAATTCACGCTATAATACTTTCTCTTTAAATTTGAATTAGTAAAAATGTTCACTATTTTGGAATTAGTGACTGAATTTTTGCTTTTGAATTAGTAAATTTTACTATTAAATTAGTAGAAACGACTATTTATTGGTGAAATTTGCTAATTCAAAAGCAAAAAGTCAGTCACTAATTAATATTAGAAAGCATTTTTACTAATTAAAATTTAGAGTTTAATATTCAATTATTATCTAAAATTTTAACTGAAATTCATATTGAAATCAATTTTTATTAGAAAATTCTACGAGAATTCAATTATTCAAATACAAAAATAAATAATTTATTGAATAATTGAATGTTTCTTAAAATTGAACTCTCATAAAGAATTTTATCAACAAATATTTAAATAATTAAAATTCTTTTGACGAATTTTATTAAAATTTTTAAGAATAATTTCCATTTTCGAGAAATTAGATTAAAATTGCATTAAAAATAATTGAATCTCTGTAAAAAAAATTTGATTGAATTGAGAAAAGTTTTTGAAAATAATTGAAATTTTGCCAAAAATTTTATTAAATTTTTCGAAAATAATTGAATTTTGAAGAATAATTTGATTATTTATAAAGATAATTGAAATTTTGACGAGAATTTTTTTTAAACATTTGACCATAATTGAATTTCTGTGAAGAATTTTATTACTTTTGAAAATAATTGAATTCTTGAGACGAATTTTAATGATATATTGCTTTTTAAATAATTGAATTATTTTGTGAAATTTTATTGAAATACGTAGATATTAAAAATAATTGAATTTTGATAAATTATTGAAATTAATTTAATTCAACGAAGAATTTTATTAAAATTATTTTGAAAAAAATGAATTATTAAAAAGAATTTCATTAAAATTTTTGAAAATAATATATAAATTATAGGAAGGCTTTTTAAAATAATTGAATTTTTTTTTTTGATGAATTATAATAAAATTTTTAGAAATAATTAAATTTTTCGTGAAATTCCATTAAAATTGTATTAAAAATAATTGGAATCCTGCGAAGATTTTTATTATTTATGAATATAATTGAAAACCTATATATATGAAAATAATTGAATTCCTGGTAAAAATATTATTCTTCATGAAAATAATTGAATTATTGCGAAGAAATTTATAAAAAAAAATTTGTAAATAATAGAATTCCTGTGAAATTTTTAGTATTTAATTAATTCATTCAAAATTGAAATTTTCTAAAATTTCAAATTAAAACCTTTTGAAGTTTACCTGTTTATGAAAATTGTAAACGCAACTCTTTTAAAATTGAATTAGTTTTGAAATATTTAAGTAAAATTAGATTTTAAGAATAAGCACAATAACTTTAGAAAACCCTGATTTAGTAAAATATAATCATAAGTTAAATTTTTGATCCGAAATCAATTTTGTCATTTTTTTCTATTGTCTATTTTAATGAAGGAATAAATTGAAAATAATGAAAACGAAATTGAAATTGTAAAATTAAAAATAAAAAATTAAATATAATTTTTTTGGGAATTTCAAAGGCAAATTGTTGCTCGAATTATGAAGAGTTGAGAGAAGGAGGGACAGAGAAAGAGAGAGAAAGAGAGAGAAAATAGAATGTGGGACAGCTGAGTGTAGAGGAGAATGTATAGGGATTAATGGCTTTAAAGCTTGTGAAGACAAGAGTAAATGTGCTAAAATGGTTAGTTACCGAGACAGTAAAACTAAGACTGACATGACGAAGTAGAATGAACTGTGTAGAGTCAGACATCCTGACGCTGTTTACTATCTCACGTTTATAAATGCGCCTCGAATTTACGACTTTTAGGTGCTTGGCTTATCGAATCCGTTCATCTGATTCAGAAAAGAAAAGTTTCCACCACTTTTCCCAAAAATAAAGGAAGAAAAAAAAACTTTCCTCAATCGCAACCTTGACAAACGATCACAAATTTCCATTTCCAACAAATCTCGCGCCAAAACATTCCTAGAAACCAAAATCAAAAATTTTAATTCACAGAAAAAAATTCATATTCGATTAATTAAATTTAAAAATAGAAAATTTCTATACTTAAACCTATAAATTGGAAAAAAAATTGTTTTCACTAGGCGAAAAACTGCAAAACTGACGAATTCCCCTGAATTCCCTGATTTACCTGAATTATAGGGTTCCCCTGATTATAGGCAACTCTATTAAAAATTATTCCAAGATTTTTTTTTTTGAAAACCAATTCTAAAATTTGTAAAAAGAATAAAAAAAATCAGCACCTGGTATTTAATTGGTCAATTATTTTTTCTCAGCTTCTGTATAGAGTAATATTTCCCGTGGCAATGGGTGTCTTGAAAATTGAGAACCTAAAACGTTCACTTGTTCCAGGCTGCTAACAAGGGTCTGGTGATGGTCACATTTTACAACTACTTCGTTAAATGTGGTGCTGAAGCTAGCGTGACTGACGTTGCAGAACACATTTATCACATTAGGAATTTAATTGGAGTGGACCACATTGGAGTTGGAGGAGACTTCGATGGCATTAACAAGTACGTGTTAAAAGTTGTTCAAAAACGAGTGTCAAAGCAATGATCGAGTGGCGCTTAACGATGTTATTAATTTTTTTCTCTCTCTCTCTCCTTTTCTCTTTTTATCCGATATAACTTCATTTATCCAGGACACCCCGTGGTCTCGAGGACGTTTCCAGATATCCAGAATTGTTTGCGGAACTTCTTCGTAGCGGCAAGTGGACGGTGCTCGATCTAAAAAAAGTTGCCGGATTAAATCTCCTGAGAGTATTACGACAGGTGTGTAAATATACTATTCCAATAAAATGTTTCCTTGAAACTTTTTATTGAAAAAAAAAGAAGAGAAAAATATTTCTTGACAATTTAGAATAAAAATTGAATTTCGATAATTAAAGGTAATTTTATTATTATTTCTATTCAGAAAATTTATTATTATACTTACAGGTTGAAAGGGTCAGGGACGATATGAGAACAGCTGGTGAACTGCCATCGGAAGATTTACTTGATTCGCCGGACACATCAGGAAGTTGTGCTTTGAACATAAATGAAGTGCAAAGAGTCATGGAAGTCTGAATATATTTCTCCGAAACCGGAATACTCGAGAGTCCAGAAAGAAGAAATAACGAAGAAAAAAAGACTTTCTCTACTGAAAAAAGAAAAAAAAAATTGCAATCCTTGTTCGATTGAAAAGTTAACAAGTGAAAATTTGTATAACTTGCGATGCTCAATCGGTGTGAATTTATAACACACGATCTCGACAATTAAATGTGCCAGCACTTACACGTCCTCAATTCACAAAAAAAAACACCTACACATGTATAGCAAAAATATTGTAACTATTTCTATCTCAAAATGCGAAAAATTCCGTGTGATGAATGAATGATAATTGATAAATATCCGAGTGTTTGGATTCGAGAATCTATTTTCTTTACTGACTTTTTCTTCCATGTCCTTTTGAAAATATCTGAAAAAAAGAGATAATAGATTTAAATAAAGAAAATTAAAAAAACATCAAAATTCACTATAGAAATCTCGAAATAGTCCTTTGAGAGCTTTTCAAATTTAAAACGACTGATATTAAATTTAAGAAATTTAATTGAATTACATTTTCGATCAAATTAAATATTCAATTGTAAATTGAAAATTACTAAATTTATAAATTAAAAATTATAAATTATAAATTATAAATTATAAATTAAAAATTATAAATTATAAATTATAAATATGTAATTTAAAAAAGATAATTTCATTTTTTTGCGAAACTTTTGATAAATATGAGAGAAAAGTTTTCAAATCGGTGAAATTTTCTATACTTTTTTACCCTCTTTAATGAATGAAGACGACGATGATGACGACGACGTTGATGATGATGCTGATGATAATGAACATTTTTTATATAATAAAATTCATGAAATGCGTGATCTTGAGGAAAATTATTTTTTAAATGAATAAATGCGATCATCCATCACTCACAGACTTCAAATATTCAAAAATAATGAAATCGAATCTTTCTTTTCCACATCCCCATTTGAATATAATATTCGAATCGAAAACTAAAACAAAGAAAAATTATTAAACTGTATAGAATAAGTATAAAAAAATTATATGTAAATTAAAAAAATATTATTTATTCAAGAACAAAAAATCGAAATCAGAAGAGTCAAAATTTAAAAATAAATACTTTTGTCCTGAATTTTAAAAGTGTACCAAGGAAAAAAGTTTCGTTAAATTTTTGTGTAAAAAAGTTAGCCGAAAATTCAGGACAATAGATATTTAAAACTACTGCAATTGCACAAAAAAACGAATGAATCTCATCTATAGCGTCTCTATCGAGTGATTTAAAATCTAAGGAAGCTTAACTTTTCCTTATTTTTCTAATTAAAGAGACTAAGAGAGTAAAATGCTTCCTTAATTTTTGAAGAATTTCGATCTCTACCTGTCTGTGTCTTGTGTGCACTTATTCCTATAGTCCGTGCGATTAAATATTTACAAAAAGAAAAAGAAAACCAAAAAAAAAAAATGTATAATTGAAAATCGCATGGATTATTTGGCAGCCTTTTATCGAAAGAAAGGCTGGTCACAACATAGTATATCAAATTTCCGTTGTAACTTGAAAAACGGACGCTGCAAATAAATGTTTCTATTGCAAAAAAAAAAATATTTTTCTATTTTCCATATTCACATTCAAACTCTCTCTCTCCATAATGATCCACAACTTTTGAATGTTCAAATGAACGAAATATTTTTCACGAAAAACACAATAACTTTAGAAAATAACAATTTTCTAGGACTTTGATCAAAATTCCCTGAGTTTTCCAGGTTTTTTCAAGGTTTATAAAATTTTCTGACATTTACAGATTTTCCCAGTTTCCAGGTTGCGTAACAAACCTCTTTTATAGTGACGCAAAATTATTGTAATAAAAATTTAATTTTAAGAAGAAATAAATAAATTTCATTCATTTGAACGTTCAGAATTTTCGGGGACAATCTCCATAAACTTTTAAAGGAGTAAAAAGTTAGATGTATTTATTTTATTAATTTATTTTCAATATTCGTAAATATTGCCTATTTCTAAAAATCACAAATTTCTCTCAATGTTTCGATTTTTTTTCCTTTTTCGATTTTTTTCGTTTAGAACGTTCTTTATCTTTGTCTTTATGCTTATGTTTTTTCTTCTCTTTTTTCGATTTTTTCACTTTTGTTCGTTTTTCACTACTTTTCTTTTTATCACGCACAGAAGTGTCTTTGGAGAGTGATTTTTTTGAGAATTGTTCCTCGATATTTTTTGATTGATCAACACGTGAAGGGAATGGTGAAAGTTCGCTGGTAATTTCAATAACATCGGGTGATGCTGTTCGGGTGGCAGATGCTTCTTTATTGTTATCAGCTGGCGATGCGGGACCAACTAAACTATCGAGATCCAATTTTGCAAAGATGCCTCTTGGTGGTGATGTATTTCGTTGAACGTTAATTTCAGCCGGTTGTCCAATCAAGACTGACTTTACGATTTCACTGTCAATACCATCTTCTGTTTCTGAATTTGAATCCTCACTGCTACTGAGAAAAATTGCTTTGAAAAGATCTCGTTTCTCTTGAATTTTATCTTTTGGTTCGTCACAATTTTCCTGTTCCTCTTCTTTTTCTAAATCGGAAATTTTTCTTTTCTCTTGGCCAAAGATCTTTTCATAAGTTTCTTCGAATGTTTTTTCCTTTTCGGTCATTTTTTCGTTTTCGTTATTTTCACTTTTTGTTGTTGCTTCACATTTGATTTCTTTTTCTAAGATTGTTGATGTTTGGAATTTTGAGACTCCACTGGAAAAGTCCAATGAATCGAAGACAGAAAACTTCTTTTTCTTCTTTTCGGTTTCCATTGAACAACCAACATTTGGTTCTGCAACGTTGAATCTTTTGCAAACGAGGCTGGATGGTTGCCAGATTATTCTTTCTCTTGTTAGTTTACCGAACATTTTCATTTTAGCAGCCTCCTTCATTTGATTGGTAATTCCTTCTGGTTCGGTGAAAACTGATGGATTCATGACGTTGCTGACGAATTTTTGATCCATTGTATTTTCTTTTTGAGTATTTTTAACATCCTCAGAATTCGTAAGTTTTGCCGCTTGTTCGAACTCCGTTTTCTCTTGATTTCTTTCCCATTCGCTCATTGTTAGAGGTTGAAGTGTATCAAGTTTGTGAGTTTCTCCTTGTTTATCCAAGTCGAGATATTTTTCGAATCTTTTCTGTTTATCGGGATTGGCAATGAAAAGTTTTAATGAAGAATTACTTGTTTCTGCAGTTGAATCTACTTTTTTATCTGTTTCCTGATTTTCTTGAAATTGTTCTGAATTTTTAAGACTTCCATCAACATTCAAACCAGATCCCATGACTCCACCTTTCACGAAACTCGATGAATAGAGTTTATCTAACCACGATGAAGATGCTTCGACTGCAGCGGCATTTTTTCTCTCTTCCTCCAATTTTTGCCGTTCGGCAACTTGTTCGCGTCCGTGGAGATTTAACGTCTTAGCTATTATTTTTGCAGCTGGTGATATTTCATCAATTTTAATAGATCTATTAGAATTACCTGCATCATCTGAATTCCTTGATATCGACGGTTCGCCAATAATAGCGGCTCTTGTTTCTGCATTCAAATTTTGACCACCATATTTTACATCTTGAAAATTCCTCCTCGGTGGTGACTCAATTGGAGGATAAAATCGACTCTTTCGAACAACATGAACAGCTTTGAAATCCTTTGGCAAATCGGGAGGTTCAAAAAATTTTCTACGAGGTAACGAATTTTTTGCAAGTACAAAACCCTCTAGTGATCCACTACCTGAAGAATTGTCAGCTTTACCTTGACTCCATTTTGATTTTGATTTCTTTGACGGACCCAATTCAAAATCGTAATTTGACATATCATCCCTCGCGTAAATATCCATATCCTCGGCTTCAAAGGCACCAACTCCAAACGCCTGACCAGTAACGGAGAATTTTTTATTTTTCTCCTGAACACGAAATGTTTGCGGTTCAAATAGATTTATATGTCCAGAGAGGATTGGTCGCTTATCCAGTCCAGTATAGCCGATTCCAAAAAAATTGTCCTTTGGATTAATTCTAGAAATAAATATTAATAATGTAACACATAAATAAAAAAATTATAATTGTATTTTATTTGAGGGAAAATTATTACAAAAAAGACAGTTAAATATTACCTAAATGGTTCATAATCGTCAGGGGCAAATTTAATTTCCGAATATTCATCATCTGTTGATTCTGAATCACTTTCTTCGTCCTCTTTTTTCTGAGTAGGCATATAGCAAGTGTAGACTTTTACTTTTTCATGTTGTTTCTTAACTTTAGCTTTTTCTTTTTTTGTCAATCGTGGTCCAACGCCCTGTCCTGGTTTCCAGCCCATTTTTTTAAGTAACTTCACTCCTATTCTGTCCCTGTTGAAATAAACACAAAAAATTAAAGTAGAAATTAATGAATACTAAATAAATAACAATAATAATAAAAATAATAGTAATAAAAAAATAATAATAATTACAATAATAAAAATAGTAGTAATAAAAGTTGCTATTTGCTTTTTTGTTTCCTAACTTTTTAAATAATTTTTCTTTTTAAATATGTTTAAAATTTTTAAATTAATGTACTGAAAATCATTGAATTCTTGTAAAGTTTTTTTTTAAAAAAATTTGAAAATAATTGAATTCATTTCAAGAATTTTATCTGAATTTTTGAAAATAATTTAATTTTTTGAAGGAATTTTATCAAAAATATTGAAAATATTGATTTTTTTAAAAAAGAATTTCATGAAAATTGTTAAAACTAAATTGAATTTATATTAAAATTCTTGAAAATAGTCGAATTTAATTAATATTTTTAAAAATAATTGTACTCTTTCTACAAATTTGATTAAAATTGTATTGAAAATAATAATTTAATTCTGCCGAAGAATTTTATTATTTATGAGAGTAATGAAATTCTTGCTTAAAATTTTATTAAAATGTTTAAATAATAAACAAGAATATTTAATATTATGTACTTAACAAGTGAATTCTTTAAATTTTGAATCTGTAATCATTCAAAAATTGGTGTTTATTCTTGAAAATATAACATTTTTTAACTTATAAAATAAAAATAGATGGAAAACCGCGTTTTGCGCGAATTCATTTGATAGTAATAATAATAAATAGAAAATATTAAAAAAATAATAAAACTTTAACTTGAATAGAAAGGAAAATCTAAAAATAAAATAATTACTTGACAGGTTTAATGAGATTTTCCAAGACAGGCGTCCCAGGAATTGGACCGTCATTAATTTGCCGATTTAGTTTCCTCTTAGTTCCTCTTTGATTAGTGTCTGCGTAATCTTGAGTAACTCGTATTCCAGTGGGCGCAATTCCAAATTCACCGGTGTCTTCCTCATCCATAAAGTCCTCGGGCCTTTGAGTAATGTTCTCAAATCTTTTTTTACGAGAGGACTTAAATTGTTGAGGTTGCCATCCATCTCGTGTTCCAACAGAATTAAAGTATCCAGCCGAGAAACCACCTGTAAAGGCTCCATGAAATCTACGTCTTCCCTGTTCATCAACGGCAACTTGATCTTGAATTGACACTGGTTTCTTTCGTGGTAAATTATCTGCAGAAACACAAAACAAAATTATATTTTTGCATTAATATTCTGCTTGATTGCATTGAACACACGATAAATAATTTCCCGGCCTTTTGTCCAAATAGCGTTAATTAATATTCCACAATTGTCAAAAATAAAAACAATAACAATTGTATTGTCTCTTGTCAAAACAATAGTGGGAAAAATGTAGTAACAGTATTGTTACTTTGACCAAAAGCAAATTTTACATATAGAGAGAGATTTGAGATGATTTTTTAATTAGAAACACTTATGTTTTTTTAACATTACTTTAGTACTAATTAGAAAATACCGAAAATACACAATTTTGACAAACCTTCATCTAGAGGATCAAGTGGACATCCGTATTTTGCATAATTTTCCTCTTCTGAATCACTCATTTTTATTGAAGTAAAGATATTGCAATTAACACTTTTAATCTTAATTAAACTAGCATTTCAATTACTGTTGAATGTTGTTTATTATAATCATTGTTAATTAAACAAATAATCGTAACTTAATACGTTACGTTTTTATTTATCTTTTGAGGTTATGTTCGACGCGACATCTACCGTTAAACACGTGTCAACTAAAAAGTCGTCTGCTACAAACCGCGTGATTCAAATTCAAAACATAAAAATACACTTTCTTTAGATTAAAAATTAGAAAGAAAACCAAGAAAACTATTAAATTAACAATTAAAATTAAGAATCTAAAAATAAGAATTTTGTTACAGTTAAATTAAAAACGTACATTCGTCATTTTAAAAAATTTCCGTATGTGATATAGAATTTGACAGGAAATAAACATAACCTCAATTTATTTAAAATGATTAAAGTCTTGTGTAAGCAAAATTAATTTAATATTTATTTAGAATAATTTACAAGATTATTCTTTATAAAAAAGCGAAATTAAGAAAAGATAAAAACTAAATTAATAAAACCGAAATTATTAACAGTGCGTTTATATTCTCGTTTTTTTGCGAGGTTTTGCGTGTTTCTCTACAAAGCACCTAGTGCGCAAATTGACCTGAATGACAGTGTTGTTATCAATAACAATTGACAGATAAAAAATTGGGCCGATATGGCCGGATACAATCTTCTTCTCTTTCGCAGGTGTTTGTCAATAAATGGTAAGCAAATTAAACATATTATAATAAATAATAATTCCTCGATTTTGCATTAAAGTGTTTACATCGTTTACATTAACCAGAAAGGGGTAAACCGCCATTACCCTATACTTCCCTCATCATAAAGTGCGGATATATTTATTAAAAATTATTAACTAATTAGTAAAATTTCCAAGAAATCAATATTCCAGACGTTTATTAGTTGTGTTTGAAAATTAAAAATTGTGTTTTTAATTTTCAATTAAAAAAAACCAATTACAAACTTCGCAATAGTTATAAACATAGTGCGAAGGAATCATAATTTTACAGATTATAAATGTACGTATTGCAAAACGGTAAATATATCAATTTTATCTTACTTAAAAATATATTTCTAGAGTATAATTAAAATTCTATTTATTAATCTAAAAATAAATAACATTTTAGCAACATAACCTCAAAATGAATGATCACGATAAGGAAATACCGGCTTCTCTCAGTCAGCAAATTGAAATTTTACTTCAAGGAGATGATCCAATAAAAGCTGTGGACATTATTAATGATGAAACAAATCTCGATGCACTTAAAGAATCATCTTGGAATATCGTCAAAATTGTGACTCCATATTTAAAAATTGAAAATGCAAAGGAAAATGCCCAATTATTCAAGACTTGTGAAACGATTCTCAACGTCGTCGCAGAGAAATGTAAACCATCCGAGACAGTTTTGGAAATATTGGAGGAAATCGAGAACGAAGAGAACGATGTAAAATTATTCGCATTATTAAAGCCATTAAAACGAGCATTACAACGATTGGAGGATAAGAGTAAATCTTTCGATTGGTGCACGAATACGATAAAATATTACATCGATGGTCTTCCGCCTTATGAAAATAAAATCGCTTTTGAAGAAATCGATTCGGAGGGATGTAGAATTATTGATCTTTACAAGGAAATTCTGTTGTTTTTAAAACCGTTCATTGAAGAATCATCGATTCGTGAAGGAAATATTAGTCCAATTCGAAATCATTTGCTTAGTTTACTTCTCTCATTGCTGGGTAAACCTTTGTGTCAATTGCCAGAAAGTTTACGATCTGTTAAAGATATTTCCGAAATGATAGTGATTAATATTTGTAAATTAACTGGAGATTGCTTTCGATTTCTTTCAATAGTTGTCGAACGAGATAAACGGAGCAATGAATCGGAAAACAAGTCCGATCTCTTTGAATCAACATGGCAAGTTTCAAATTTATCTTACGCTAATTTTTATTATTATTTACTCACCAAGGAATCGTTAATTGAAAATATTCCCCAAGTTTATGATTTGGAATACATTCTACACAATTGTTTCTATCTCGCCTACGTCTTTCTCGAGAAAACCGAACCAATTTTCGTTTCTAAAGGTCTGAGTCTCATTGAATCGATCATTGATCGACCGGAAAAGTATTCTCTAAGTCAACAAACATTGGAATTTTCAGTGCATTCGAAATTATTCTCCTGCTTGACGCAAGTGATAATTTACTGTGAATCGGATAAGGAACGAAAGAGAGCTTTGAAAATTTTCAAAAGTTACATTGATTTATTTACAATTCAAGCGAGATATCAAGTTCTTTTACAACTCTATAAGGTGACCAAACATTCCGGACTTTTGAGTTTAATTAGTGTAATTGTCAAAGATTCGGTAATCATGTGCCTTGAGAGGAATCCACCATTGAATTATTTTCTCGGATCAAATTTGCATAGTTTACTTTCAATTGTCTGCAATTTACAACATGGAAGTGCGACCGATTTAATTGAAATTGCCGAGGAGATTATTGCTGCTTTGAATTTGCTTCGTTTTCTATCGATTCGTGACAGTGAGAACGTTACTGGCTTTTGGAATTATGTGGAAAATCTGGAGAAATATTATTTAAAGGATCTACGAACTGGAATCGATTTAAGTCGTGCTCACTGGAAATTAAAATTAAATGATTTGAATGAAGAGAAGAATTTATCGAAATCAAAGAAGGCGGAAATTGATAATGTGACCGTGACAGTTGGTGGTGAAAATTTATCAATGTTGCCTATCAGTGAGAAAATTAAATTTACCCATCAGGCGTTAAATGCCTTGGACATGATTGAAATTGTCTTGATCCGCGTTAATGAATGTCTGGAGAATCATCGTCTTAAATTCGCCTCGAAAAATTAAAATCTAAAAATTAAATTTAAATATTAACAATAAGTTTTTTTTCTACCTGATCTGTAAATTCGAATGAATTTTGTATATTTTTGAAATAAATAATTTTAATATCTTAAAGAATGCTAAATACTTAATTTATTTATCATTTAAACAAAGTAGAATTCAACAATAATTATTTTTCAATTCACTTTGTAGGTTTCAGAAATATCTGGACCTCGAGAACTTTATTTTCCGAAGAGGCGAAAAATACATCTACCGAGGGAAGTGGTTCAAATACCGAAACCGAAGAAGAGTACGAGAAAAATATCGAATCGAAAATTTTGAATGCTTCACTAAAATTTGTACATAATTACGGATGGAGTCAGCAGGCAATCAGTGCTGGTAATTGAATTCTCCCGAAGAATTTTATTAAAGTTTTTAAAAATCATAATTTAATTTTTTTGAAGAATTTCTTTGAATTTTTTTTAAATAATGGAGTTTTTTTAAATAATTTTAATTGAAAATTTTGAAAGCAATTGAATTTTATGAAGAATTTTATTAAAAGTGAATTGAAAATAATTGAATTCTTGCGAAGAATTTTACTATTTATAAAAATAATTGAATTGTATAATAATAATAAATTGAGATTAAAAAATTGATTGATAATTAAAGGGAAAGAATTATAAAAATTAAGAAGAAAGAATTATATACGTATTAATTTTATTGAAGGTGCGGAATCCATTGGTTATCCAGGAGTTATTCACGGAATGTTTCCAAATGGAGGAGCAGATTTAGTTCAGCATTTTTATTCCTCCTGTAATCAGGAACTAAATGAAATGCTGAGGGCAAAGGCTTTGGCGATTGAAGAAAATCCTTCGGAACCAAAACCAACAGCTGAGGTTCAAGTCCGTGAGGCAATGGAAAATAGATTAAGAATGTTGGTACCGTACAAAAAATCCTGGCCTCAAGCAATGGCTCTTTTAGTCGTACCACCAAATGTACCAAAGTCTATAGCTAATATTTTAACACTCGTTGATGATATTTGTTACTACGCTGGCGATAGATCTGTCGATGTAAGTTAAATTATCTCTTTTGTAAGAAAAATATTTGATAATCTTTTCTTATTCTTTTTCTTTCTTGTTCTATTTTTTATTAGTTTTGGTCGAAAATTGACTTTCGCTAATTTTATTTCTTATTATAATGTTTTGCTTATTTATTTTTACAGTATTTATTAATTTGAGTTTATTTTTAAATTTCAGTTCAATTGGTATACGAGAAGAATTGTTTTAGCTGGAATTTATAAAACAACGGAACTATATTTATTGCAAGACAACAGTGAAGATCACAAAGAGACCTGGAAATTTTTGGAGAGAAGAATAGAAGATGCTATTCAACTTCGTCGCGTACTTTCGATTCCAAACGATTTACCACCTCCAGATCAAGCTCTCAGCAAAGCCTCCGAAGCTGCAAGTGCAGCTTTCATAACAGTAAGAATTTCAATTTAATTTCAAAAAAAGTCAATTTAATCTAAATCTTCATCTAAAATTCAAGAAGTACTGAAATCAATTTTAATTGGCAAAAACTAATTGAAGAATATTTGAATTTAAATTAAAAGTAAATTAATTACTTGTATATCTTTTCAGGCACGAAATATACTTGGTATCAGTTGGAGAAATAGGTAAAGAAGTTTGAAATTTTTCAAATTTTAGATACTTGAATTATTTTGTGAAATTATAATTTTTATTATAAAAAAAAATGATTATAAAAATTGTTTGAAAAAAAATTTAATTTCCATTGTATGAAATTTTTATTCTACACTATTTTTAGTTATTGTTTATAGTATAAAAAAAGGTTTTCAGTATACTTTAAAAAAGAACATTAACATCAGTCTTAATATATTTATTTAATTCAATTATCGACTTGTTTATAATTGTACTTGAGAAAGTCAACAGTATTTTAATTGATAAAGATGAATTACGAATTATGAAACTAATCACTAATGATAAACACTTAATTTACTGGAAACATTTGTTTTCTACTTTGGAAATTCATTAAAATGCTTTCAACTTACACACTTTCAATTTTCTTAACTCTTTCATTCATATTTACTGGTTGACATTTTGGTTTTGAATATTTTCCTTACATTTTTTTTTATTTCTAATGCCTATCGTTATTAATATATATAACTATTATATATTTTCTTCTATTAAAAACATTTTATTTGCTCAACGAAGATATTAAAGAATTTCTTTCAAATCATTCACTTATTTTTTTTTCGAAGAAAGAAGTTCATTCTAATTTTCAATAAAATATAATTTTCAAGTCTTTCAAATTTCCCTTTTTAAGGGAAGCAAATTAACAAATTTGAATATTTATTTACTTAATTTTTCTTATAGAAATTTAAAATTATTCAAACGAATTTCCAATTTTTTTTAAATTGCAATAATCACAAAAAGATTTTTGAGCATTTGAAAAATTTTCATAAAAATTGTTCAATTTTTGAACAAATTTAAATGAAAAATTGTTTTTTACTTATAAAAGCAAGAGTTTATTTTTTCTTAAATAAAAAAATAGATCTGAATTCAAAAATAATTTTTTTAGGCCATGAGAAATTCATTTATAAAATTTCTAATTTCCGATCAATTAAAATTCAATTTATTTTAATTAATTCTAATTTCTAATAAAATTCACTTTTGGATTTTTAATAAAAAATTTAAAGTAAATTCGATAAATGTTCTGTATAATTATTGCCACATTTTTAACAATACTTAATCAACTAACTTTGTTGAAAAATTTCCGATTTCTAGACCAAAAAGAAAGCCTTTTTAATTTCGACTTGACTATATTTTGAAGCAACTCTCAGTATTAGAAATAAAATTTGGCCTGAATTTGATATATATGTACATATATAACGTTTACGTGAGAAACACGTAGATTAAAATCTATAACAACTAAAAAATGGAGCCTCCTTAAAAAAGATATCTAAAAAGAAAAGATGAGAAATAAGAAAATCTATATCGAACATCTGGAAAAGTAGTTTTACAACTAATGTGCGAAGAAAGTGGTACTTATTTTTTTTTTGGTCTTATCACATTAATAATACGCTTCCTCGATATATTCTCTAATCGGTTTTGGTAAAGGCAGCTTGTGAATATTGTCCAGTCTTGTATTTTGTCTGATAACAAAGCGACAGAGATACTGAAGACTTCTCACTTGAGTAAATCGACTCACCGGTTTTGTCAATCTCACCGGGAACGATGGCTGTGCAGGATTTCTTGAACGCGAATAGCAAAATATTGACGACTGACTAAATGTCATTGAATGATTAATTAGATCAACCACAGAAGTATAAACTTGATTCTCCGAATGATTGCACAAAGAAAATAATCCACTGCTGTATTCCATTCGTGAATGACGAATTTTCCCAACTGACTTGAAACTTAATGTTAATAAATACCTGGAAATGAAAAAATCCATAAGTAAATGTAAATAATTACTAACTGAGATTTTATAATTGAGGGCCTGCATACAATAACAACCGCTGCGCTTGGTTGTAGGGGATAATACCAGCCAGACGCAGTGAGAGCCTCTGGGCCGTTCACTGCTACCTGACTGGTACTATCCCCTTCAACCAAGCGCAGCGGTTGTTATTGTATGCAGGCCCTCAATTACTGTAAATTTTTTCTTTATTGTAGATTTTTCTTTAATGTAAATTTTTCTTTACTGCAAATGTTTCCTTATTGTAAATTTTTCTTTATTAAATAATTCAATTTTTGTGCAAATTAAAAAAGAATTTTTCAAACGAATTCAATTATTTTCTAAAATTTTTATAAATTCTTCGAAAAAATTCAATTATCTATATTTCTAAATAGTAAAATCCTTCGAAACAATTCAATTATGTTTATAAATAGTAAAATTATTTAAATTTATTTATTTAATTTAATTTAAATTTATTTAAATTTCGTAAAAAAGTTACGAAATAAAAGCAAACAACAATTACCGGAATACAATGATTATTAAAATAGATAGATTGAAAAAAAACCTGCAATCTGAAGAATCCCTAATTAGAAATGCACCATCCGGTTCGGAAGTTAATTTTGAATCAGCTTCATCTCTGGATATCGGTCCCCAGTACCATCCATATTTACTGAGTTTTAATAATTCCCCTATTAATGTTGCCTTTGTTCCGCTTTTTCCCTCTGAATCGTTCTTATTTGTATTATCACGATGCTCATTATTATTTTTCATTTCTTCCAATTGTGATAAATCACTTCCATTTGTTTGAGAATTTCGAAAACTTGTCTCTCCTTTCTGTGAAACATCAGCATTGAGATTGTCTTGTGATTTTTCTGCTTCTGAATTTATTGAATCATTTTGAGATGAGACGTATTCATTGAGCCTGGGAATTCGTTCAGTTTCTGATAAATTTTGTCCATTACACATTAAAGCCGCTATGTAAGAATTCACTGGATTCGAAGAATCTCTTGCTTGCTCATTATTTTTAATTTGTTCCTGAATATCACTGGATCTTTCTGATAAATTATTTATCGATATTTCATTCTCTTGTACTTTAGTCTGAAGGGAATAAAATTGAAAATTGATTTAAAAATTATGGAGTAGGTAATTACACAATAATTAAGAATTTAACTTACCCTTTGTCTTGATTTGCTTGGCATGAGTTTCTTAAATTGTAATTTTTTCTTGAGATTTTTAAGAAAATCAGAATTTCTTCCAGAAGATGGTTCATTTTTAATTGACTCACAATTTTCCTCTAATTTCGACGAACTTTCTTTTCTATTTTTGAGATGAAAATTAAAATACTTTCCAGTAAGTTTAGAAATTTTGGAATTTCCATTAACACTTGAGCCATCTGATATTGGAGTTTCTTCTGAATTTGAATTTAACATTTTGAAGATATTGTTGAATGTGTAATTATATAGTATAATTACAGTAACAATAAAATTTTGTAATTATTGTTGGTGATGACACTTCATATGATTGGAAAATCTCTGTAGAAAGTAACAAATTTCCAATACTTTCTTAATAGACTCATTTGTGAGTGATTTAGTTTAGTATTAATTGCAACAATTAAAACAAATAACAATAAACTTAATTTTCATAACAATGTTGGATGCAAGACAACAACTATGTCAGGGTTGGACCACTTTATCAAGCAATGCGTAAAATGTCATTACTGTCGTTAGTGGAGAAAATTGTCGACCAATTGTAAATAGACTCGAGAATTTTTCCACCAATGAGAGAGAGAATTTATAGAAGTACGCAAATAAGTACTGAACTTGGCTTAATTAACAACAAAGTTTAAACTTGAGGGCATTGTAAAAGTGGTAACTGTATAAATAATATATCAAAAATGTCAATTCATATGCATTTTAATAAAGAAGAAATTCCGGAAAAAGAATCTGTTCTACACCTGATGCCATGTAAAATTCATGGCGATGAATCTGCAAAAGTTTCCTCTTATTTTGAACCGTATATTCGACAGGAAAATGATGAATGTGAGTTTTTTTAGGTTATAAATTGTTGACAGGTGGTGAATGTTTATAAATTGTTTATTTCTCCCTTTAACAATATATTGTTTTCTTTGTTTTATTATAACCTTTCATATATTATATAGGGTATTTATATTCTTAAATCATTAAAATAATTACTATAATAGAATTTCTACTGCAATAGAATTATAAACAATAAAATTAATTATATGAAATTAAAATTTAATTTTTATAGACAAATTTCTATATTTTTCAAATAAGGTTTACAAGCAACATTTCGAGGCTATCTTCTTCAAGGAAAAAAGGTCACAGTACCTAAAGGTTATTCTGGCATAACATTCTTTGAATACAAGAAGCCTGACACTGAAAATACGGAAAGAAATATTTACTCTAATGGAAAATTCTCTGAATTTACTTACTGGAATTATGACAAAATACCTTCTAAAAACGACGCTTTAGTTGCCGCTTTAGATTGGATTGACATTGCCGAGGCTGTAAGTAATTTTTTTCTAAAAGAAAACGTTTCTTTCAAAGGAAACAAATAATTTTTTTTTAATTGCTTTCAAACTTTTTTCAGCTTCACGTTCCAGAAAAATCGGACGACAAATCATAGCGAAAGGAAAATATATTTTTTTTAAACTAAATTAATTATACGTAAGTTAATTTAAATAATTTTTAACGAATTAGTGAAAAACATTGAAAGTCAATAAGATATTTTGAAAATAAAAATAGACTGTATACGAAAATACCATTTTTTTTGTTATATTTTTTTAATGGAAATTTGTATCTAAAATAATGATAAAACATTAAATAAGATTCTTATAAATATTTTAATATGCTAATTTTTTCACAATCATACATGAAATCCATACATTCGTGAATATTGAAGTATAAATACAGTAATTAAATTAAGTGTAGAAAATATTTTAATACTTTCCTTATTATATATTATACTTCATGCAGTCTCGATATTTAGCTGATTATTTATTCTCAAGAAAGATTTAATATTTTTTAAATAATACTTTCTTTGAGTTGAACAATAATAAGAAAATTTACGCAATTTTTTAAAACTTTGTTTCAAACAAATTAAAACTTACAACTAACAACGAATCTCAAATAATACTTTTATGTATAAATTATTTTTCTTAAATACATAATATTTTCACAGATGTTAAAATTTCTATTGCAAAGAAACTTTAATAGACAAAATTATCTAAATTTTGCAAACTATTCTTCTACAGTGTGATTATGTTCGTGTAAATTTTTGCAGATTTAACGTTGGTCTTTAAATATTTTTTTTTTTTTTTGGTCTTGTGTGTTTATCAATCACAAGTATTCCTCTTATTTTTTTCAGCAATATACAATTGTCAAGCGTGAATATTAAATTCTTAATTCTAATTATTTCATAGCCTGTAAAAGCTGTCTAATTTCAGCAAAATTCTAAAGCACTAGAATTCATAGAATAGTTAGCTCACTCTAACAATAGTATATTATTAAAAATTCTAGTTCCGTTATTTAAAAAAAACAAAAATTTCCCCATACAAACAAAAACAGTCATTTGGGTATAAAAAGTGCGCAATTTTTTTTTATATACAATTCTCGCTTAGAATAGATTAAAATATCAGTTTGGAAATTTATCACGTTCAAATTCTACATTTATTTAAAACACACAATTCTTTCATTCCATAATATTTCCAATATTGTACTTTGGAAAAAAGGATTTGGCTATATTGAGCGTATATAACACTCCTAAAATTCAGGAGATCCATTTCAGCTTTAGATAAGTTTTGTTCTTTAAAAAACTTTTTTTTCGAATTTTTCACGTAAAAAAATCTAATTTTTTCAATATTTTATAAAAAGGGAAATAATAATAATAATTCGAATAATAAATGAAATTATTATTATTATTTAAAAGAATGTAATTGTATAAAAGTTTTTAAAAAATTCCCATTAGATTTTCTGAAAGACTTCCTTGGAGATCAGAATGTAAAAAAGTGTCGATTAAATAGCTATTAAAACTTTGTATAAAAATTGTAAATAAATTCTACACGTATATATTTATATCAAATCAGACTATAAATTTCTAGAAGAACTTACAAGTGACTAGAGTCTTAAGAAAGAAATTATCGCTGAATCATTATACCCTGTTCATGGAAATAACAGAATACCGATAACAACAATTCGTAATTTTTATCGTTTTTCTAAAAAAAATAAAACAATACGGTTATCTTTTTAAAAATAACAAATATAACGAGTATTGTAATTCATTTACTAATTAAGATAAGAGACCCGGTAAAAAAGAATTTCTGAAAGTTGATTGTAGTTTCATTTCATTTGAATTTCAATCTTAAAATTAAAATTAAAATTAAAATTAATTTTAAATTCAATATTAAGATCAAATTTATACTTTATAGAAATTAATATTAATTAATATTTAATATTAATATTTTAAGATAAATACAACAAAATACGAAAAGTTGTTATCGAAATAACATTAAATATTTTGTTCTTTTTTTTTGTTCTGTTTTTGGAAAATTACGTAAAAGTACCTAAATCAGAGCCCTGATGATACTTCGATTGCTCCTGTTGTTGTTTTATAAAAGCGCTGAGTCTATTCAACAGAAATTGTTTATCATGACCCTCGAGGACCAACTGATTTTTCAAAACAGTCACCATATGTTTATTCGCAGTGGCAACGGCGAAATAATAATAAACAAGTAGAGCCAAGAGGACAAATGCCGGCACACCAAAACCGGCAGTGCCAAGAAATGAGAAAAACGATTGTAGCCATTCGGGAAATCTTGTGAATGTCACCACCATCAGTGACCAAACATTCTTTAATTCCTTAAATGGACCACAAGCCTTGGATGGAGTTAATTTCACCACATAATAACCAATTGGAATAATAGCCAAAATATAAGTTATCAATAGAACAAACATAAATAAAGATTTTGATCGACTTGTCCTGTAGACTTGACTCGACGGTGTACTATTAACAAGACAAGCGAATTTCTTAATGTAGAAAATAAGAAATGATCCAATTGTCGCCACCAATGGCAAGAGTGGTACAAAAAATGCTCCCAACCAACAAATTGTCTGCGAATAAACAACATCCAATACTTGTTTTGGTAAATCAAATTGTTGCTCGCCAATGAAGCGGAGTATTTTATTTTCCGAATGTCGTGCCAATAGGGAACGTGGGAAATTAATGAATATCGTCAAAACAATTTGAGTGATAAAATCAGTGAGATAGAGTTTCAAAAATTGTTGACCAACAAAAGTTTCCCAACACAACGGTCGATTTGTTGTTTCATTTGTGCATTCATTTTCACCAACTTCGCCGACAATTTTCATGTAGAAATTTGTGAGTAAAACAGCCAGCGATGCAAGTCGAAGAAAAATTGTACGAAACAAAGTGACACGAACGACAAACAATGGACTATAATTTTCAAGTGTCACAAGATAACGAAATATAAATGGCACGATAATATTTAATCCAACAATACAAATATAGGGCAAGAATTCAAATAAAATCTGACCAAGTGTATTAAATGAAAATGTCACACTATAGTCGTGAGCAATTTTTGTGCTTACTTGACGAAATGAAAAATCAATAACCCAATAAATAAAAATTCCACAACAAGCAAGCACCATAAGAACAATTGCATTGACAAAAAGACGAATAAAATATAATTTTACTTTCTCCTCTTTCGTTCGATTTTGCCTCTCCTCCTCCAATCGTTCCGATTCAAGGAGAACTTTCATCTCATTAAACAACGCCTTGTGCTTAATTTCACCAGCCTTCTCATTATTTATACAATAATCCCAACCGCCAAATATCAAATTACAATACTGATAAAATTGTCCCTCACCCTCGACGACTCTCTCACGAAATTCCCTCGCCGACGATCGAACAATTGCTATTAAACTGACAGAAAATATTGCCATCATCACGCCAACATAGGCCAATGGTAGATCGTAGAAAAAAGCCGAATTTCCATATGAATTATGAGAGTAATAACCATAGAATAGTAGAGTATATTCGAGAAAATTATTTCCCTGCATAAAATCGGCAATTACGTCTAATTCCTTCGAACCATTTGTATATTGTTCACTGCAACATTCAATAACACTGGTGTTCGTACCATTTGTCATGTTGCATATTTCCTGAATCGGTGGTTCTAGAACTATTGTCGGTAATATTAAAAATACGAAAATTATGAGAAACAATGATAAATTGAGAAAAAGGAGCCATTTGATGAAGAGAAAATAGGCAACAATACCCATACCAAAATTACCGCCAATCTTCTTTAAACTGCTGTTCCAGAGGGAAATTTTCGCATAAGTCTCCTTTACACGACTGCGAAATTGTTGCCAAACTTTTCTTCGTTGCCATTTTAATTGATCGAAACCCTGGAGTCTCAATTTTGTTGCACTCTTGAATAAGAAAAAAAGTATACATTAATAAAATTACTTGCTTTTCGGAAAAAGAGAAAATTTATGAAAATGGAAATATTTCAAGTATGCAGGGCTCGAACCAGTGGAACTATTTAAAAATACGGACTTTAAGGACCAAAAATGAAAAATTACGGACCAATTACTGACAAAAATAAAACCAGTCCGAGTCAAATAAGAAAACATTTTACTTAAAAGTATAAATTAAATTTTTCATAACTATAAAACATGAAGATATCGATAACTCCGAGTCGAAGACTCGGAGTGATTGAGTTCTTCATGTTTCACAATAATTAAAGATGACCGAGTGATAAAATTATTATTTTATATTAGAAGAGTATTATTACTTCAACTTATAAAATATTTTCATCATTTCAATTCAATTATTAATTTCTAGAATTTTTGAACAAAAATTCTTCTTTAAATGAATTATTTTTAATAATTTTTCAAAAAGTTCTTATTGAGAATTTTTAAATTCATTTGTATACAATACAAATTTACGAAAAATTTCGATTATTCGCAAATTCTTCATTTAAATATATTGTAGAAAAAAAACTTCAAAAAATAAATTCAAATTTTTAAATATTTTAAATTAAAACCTTTTCAAAATTAAATTGTTTCTAAAAATTCACGCAATTTAATATTCAATTATTACATAAAATTTTAACTGGAATTCATTTTTAAATCAATATTTAAATTAGAAAATTCTACGAGAATTCAATTATTTAAATACAAAAATAAATCATTTGTAGAATAACAGATTATTTCTTAAAATTGAATTCTCATAAAGAATTGTATCAAAAAATTGTTAAATAATTGAATAATTGAATAATAATTGAATTCTTTCGACAAATTTTAATAAAATTTTTAAGAATAATTACATATTTCGAGGAAATCGATTAAAATATTGTATTAAAAATAATTGAAATTCAGCGATGAGTTTTAATATTTATGAAAATAATTAAATTATTGCGAAGAAATTTTGAAAAAATTTGTAAATAATTAAATTCCTGCGAAATTTGTTATTATTTATAAAAATAATTAAATGTTTGTGTAGAATTTTATTAATTATCTTTTTAAATCATTGAATGCTTTTGGAAAATGTTATTAAAAAAGTAGTTATTGAAAATCAATAAATTGAGGAAAATTTTTGAAAATAATGACAAGAATTTAATTAAAATTTTTTTAAATAATTGAATTTTGGAGAAAAATTTTATTATTTTTATAAAGATAATTGAAATTTCGACAAGAATTATTTAATACTTTTAAAAATAATTGAATTCTTGTGAAGAATATTGTTATTTATGAAAATATTTGAATTTTGCAAAGAATTTTATTAAAATTTCTGAAAATAATTGAATTTCCGAGAAGAATTTTATTATTTTGAAAGATAATTGATATTTTGCCAAGAATTTTATTAAAATGTTTGAAAATAATTTAATTTCGGAGAATTATATTATTATTTATAAAGATAATTAAATTTTTGACCTGAATTTTTAAAAATTTTGAACATATTTGAATTTATGCGAAGAATTTGACTACTTTTGAAAATAATTGAATTTCTGCAATTATTTGTAACATCTCAAAAATTCAATTTTTTAGAATTCTTTTAACTAAAATTCTTCTATTTATTTTTTTTTTTTAATAATTAATTAAATACATAAGTATTTCAAAATTTAACTAATTTCAGAAGAATTTGAATTATTAAAATTCTTCAAAAATTCAAGTTCCTTTAAAATTTCTAATTAAATTTCTTCAAAATTCAATTATTTTTAATAATTAAGTTATTAATAATTAAATACATGTTGTAAAAATTTTTAACTGAAATTCATTTTAAGAACAATTTTATTAGAAAATTCTACTAGATTTCAATTATTCGAATACAAAAATAAGTAATTTATTGAATAATCAAATGTTTCTGAAAATTGTATTAAAAATAATTGAAATTCTGCGATAAGTTGTATTATTTATAAAAGTAATGGAATTATTGTGAAAATTTTTTTTAAAAATTTGTAAATAATTGAATTCCTGTAAAATTTTTATTATTTATGAAAATAATTAAATGTTTGAGTAGAATTTAATTTTTTTTTTTTGAATAATTGAATTCTTTTGGAAAATTTTATTAAAATTGTAGATATTAAAAATTATTGAATTGTGGAAAATAAAATAAAATTGAATTTTTGACGAGATTTTTTTTAAAGTTTATGAAAATAATTGAATTTTGGTGAAGAGTTTTATTATTTTTGAAAATAATTGAAATGATGACGAGAATTTAAAAAAATTGCCGAACATAATTGAATTTCTGCGAAGAATTATATTATTTTTGAAAATAATTAAATTTCAGCAATCATTTGTAACTTCTCAAAAATTCTCCAAATTATATCGTACAATGTACGAACTTTTCGTCCTTTTTGAAACAAATTACGGACTTTGCGGAAGTTTTTTCAAAAAAAATTAAAACAAATTTTTGAACCTTTACAGGATTTACGGACCTAGTTCGAGCCCTGACTGTATAAGAGAACTTTTTAATAATAAGAAAAAATAAATTACTTTTTAATTGCAGAATTTACCTGCAATTGATTTTTGAGTTGCATTTTCTGAGCCATACAAACGGGCATCGCTTTAATTTGCATTATTTCTTCCCATGTGCGTTCTTCGTTGGAGAGATTTTCTGATAAATCAGGAAGCATTGATACTTGAGCATCGTGAACATTTGTGGACATTCGTCTCGCGGTACTTGCGCAACGTGAACGGGTGCTTGTTCGTCTTCTCAGAGTTGTTCGTGGCTCGTGTCGAACTCTTTTTGTAGTCGCTTTATTCAATTTATATAATAGTTAATAAAATAGTTCATAATTAATTAAAACAAATGACAAAACAAATTGTTTAATTATCACTAAACAATTTTTTTTGAGTTGGCTGCGCATCTAGTTATTTAAGAAGACGAAGAAAAAGAAGAAGAAAAATAAAAAGGCGATAATTAAACAAATAATAAAATAAAGAACAAAAAAGTAAATAATTGAAAATAAAAATTCACTTATTCGGTTAAATAAACTCACCGACACGAGATTTTTTACTAGGAAGCAAAGTGGCTATATGTGAAGGATCTCTCTGTAAAGCCTGTTGCAAATCTGCCTCCATTGCAGCAGGATAACTTTCCTGATAAAATTCTGCTCCAGCTTCCTCCCAGCCATGTCCTCGATCACTTCGCTTTTTTCTTTCTCCTCCCGACATTTTTCAATTCTCTAAAAATCTCACTTTCTCGATTTTTTTTTTAATTTTGTGACATTTGAATAGAAAACAATCCACACCTGAAAGAACAATAAAAAAATTAATATTATGAGCAATGGTCAAATAATAAATAAACTATTAATAAACAAATAAAAAAAAATCAAATAAACAAAAAAATTCTAAACTTGCCTGCATTTAATAAACAAATACAATTAATTATTTTCACTTATTCAACTATTCTGTTTTTGCAAAAAACAATACAAAAATAACTTAATTTGAACTAATTTTTTAAAAAGTACAATAATTATCAATTTTATACATAGCAAAAAAAAAACAAAACAATTGACATCAAAGTGCGTGAAAAAAGCGCCCAGCAACAATGGACCCTCCTTTGAATTTTGTAAAATTTAGGGTGTAAAAAACAAAAATACAATCAAGTGGAACTATTCTAATAGGAAAATAGCAAAATGAGCAATATTCCATCAAGTTAAGTGTACATTTAGTTGATAAAAGGGAATTTTTAATTCAAGTTTAAGATGATTAATTCACAAGATTCACGAACCTAGATATAAATGACAAGCACAATAGAGGGTAATAAACTTATTTTGATATTTACTTTTTTTTGCAATTATTCAATGTTTAATTCTTCATATAAACGGATCCGATACATCACACCAGAAGACAAATAGTTACTGGAACAATGAATAAAGCGCGTCAGCATTGTGTGCAATTTTTTTTTTTTAGAAAAATTGAATTTTTATTGTTAAATGAGCTGATAAAAGATAAGGAACAAGAAACTTCTCTTGATCCTGCGATACTGAGAATTTAGCCAAGGGTATCAAATCAGTGTTGCCAACACTGAGAATGTCCTGATTTTTACGATAAGTTCATACGGCGAAAAGAAATTGCAGAATACAGTAGAACCCCTGTAGTTTCAATCAAGTTTTCCAGAAAATAAATTTTTAAAACAAGCGCCCCCTTTATTTTGAGAAAATTAACAAAATATTGATTTTTTTGTGTATATAAATGATATATAAATTTATTTAAATCAGTTTTGTGAACTGTTGTAAAAAATAAGAGAGAATGAGTTGATAGTGAATAATCAGGTAATTAGAGAGAAAATGTGAATAACCCTTAAAAAGAATGATTCCCTTTCTTATGACTCATCTTTGTTGTTTTACTCGTGTTTGAAAGGAAAACTGACATTTCTCTCTCTTCTTTTCGATTAAAAAAAAACTAATGTAAATTTAATTAATATAATATATTTTATATACTGAAACAAATATTACCATATGCTACTCTATAAATAGGAAAAAAGTGATTTAATTTTTAAGTTTTATATAAAAAGGTATGATTCATCTTTTTTTTGTGAGGGACATCGACTTATTGAAAGACTGATATAATTTTCCTTCCCCTGTTTTAACACAAGTTTTTATTATCAAAGGTGACAAAAAGTTATTTATTTCCCATTAACAACTTATGACACTTTCGGTTTTTTTTAAATTTAAAAGTAATTGTTAGAAAATTGGAAAATTTTCTTTTAATTTTATAGGTTATCTTTTGTTTATTTTTTTTCCTTTTGCGTAAAAATAAAAGTGCGTTAGAATCTTCTACAAGGATTCTAAAATAAGAATACCTTTCTTTTGAAAAAAAAATCTAATTTCATTTCGAAGAGGAATGCAGAAAATTTGAAAGTTTTATTTCAAAAGGTAAAGATTTTAATAATATATTTGCTTTTTTTGCTTGAATGATTCATTTATCCTAATACTCGAAAAGAGTTATTTAAGACTAATAATAAAGATATATTTCTATTCAATATTTAGTAAATTCTTTAGAAAAAAGTAAAAGAGTGTTTTTCTTTTATCTTTTATACGTCTTCTAAAAATCGAAAAAATTAATTTATTAGATGTATTTCTATATTTTTGAAAATTTATCAATGTTTCCATAGTTTTTTATAATTGGGGATTTTTTAGTGTTTTACGAATTTGATTTTTATTTCTTACAAGTATTTTAATTATTCAACGCTCATTATCATACGCTTCTGATAAATTTTCATTTCTGTACTAATATTTTCTGCATTTTCTAAAACAAGCATGTCATTTTCTTATATTGTATATTTAATGATGCATTAAAAATTTCGAATTAAATTTACTTTTTGAAGCATGCTTATGAGAATTATAATTCTGTAATAATAATTTTTAACAAGGAGTATTTTTTTTAGGAAAATAATTCAAAAAATAGAGTAAAAATAGAATTTTAATTCAAAGATTAGATTAAAAATAGAACTTTAATTCAAAGAATAGATTAAAAATAGAAGTTTAACTCGAAGAATAGATTAAAAATAGAAGTTTAATTCTCGTAAAAAAAAGTTGTGTTAGAAATGAGTTCAAGTCTACTTTGTTATTATCATTCTTTTCCCTCTTACCAATTAGCATATCTCATCTCTCTACTCGCATATAGCATTATGGCAGTCTCTATTTGCTTGTTAGGTGTTCTGGATACATAGAGATAGTGCTGAGTGCTTCAAGTACAAAAAGTGTCTATGATGTTTTCGTCAGGTCTTGGATGCAATCTCTCCTTCCCTAGTTGTTTGGGTTATCCTCAAGAGAGCGAAGAACTTATTCCAAGGATGGCTCGTGAACCGATAACACTCAACGTTTATGATATGGTGAGTTATACTCTTAAAAAAAATTAATATAATTTGCCTCCACTTACGTGAGTCATTAAGAATTTCATGAATCATCTTGTTAATTAAAGGAAATACTGAGAAATCGTAAATTGCAATTTCAATTTTCACCTTTTTTTTTGTTTCCTTTCTTTGGATATTTGTTTCTTTATTTTTATTTTTTCTAGTACTGGATCAATGAATACACAACTCCTATTGGTTTGGGAGTTTATCATTCTGGTGTTGAAATTTACGGAACAGGTGTGTATATAATTTTTATTTAATCTAAATATTCATTTCTTTTTTTATATAATTAATGAAATTGAAAATATTTCTTTTTTAATAGAATACGCGTACGGTGGTCATGCGTATCCGATGACAGGAATTTTCGAAATTTCACCACGTGATGCTTCAGAATTAGGGGAACAATTTAGATTCAGGTATTTTAATAAGCTTTTTCATGTTTGCCAAAGGTCAGAAAAATCAGGGAATTCAGGGATTTTTATTAAGTGCTGGAAAAAATTGAATTTTAGAAAAGTTACAAATGATTGCAGAAATTCAATTATTATCAAAAGTAATAAAATTCTTTGCTAAAATTCAATTATGTTAAAAAGTTTAAAAAAAACTCGTCCAATTCTTCGCTAAAATTCAATTATGTTCAAAAATTAAAAAAAAAACTCTTGTCGAATTATCTTTAAAATTAATAAAATTCTTCTCCAAAATTCAATTATTTTCAAAAATTTTAATAAAATTCTTGGCACAAATTCAATTATTTTCAAAAATTTTCCTCAATTTAATGATTTTCAATATCTACTATTTTGATAAATTTTTTCAAAATAATTCAATTATTTAAAAAAATGTTGATAAAATTTTAAGCAAACATTCAATTATTTTCTTAAATAATAAAAATTTCACAAGAATTCAACTATTTACAAATTTTTTTTATCTATTTCTTCGCAATAATTCAATTATTTCATACATAATAAAATTTTTTACAGATTCAATTATTTTAATGAATAATGAAACTCGTCATAGAATTTCAATTATTTTTAATACAATTTTAATAGATTTCCTCGAAATATGTAAATATTCTTGAACATTTTATTAAAATTCGTCGAAAAAATTCAATTACGCAATAAATTATTTATTTTAGTATTTAAATAATTGAATTCTCGTAAGATTTTTTAATAAAAATTGATTAAAAAATTAATTTCAGTTAAAATTTGATAGATAATAATTGAATTTTGAAAAGGTTTCAAATTGAAATTTTTGAAAATTTGAATTTTTCATACTTTTAATTGACAATTCTGTAGAATTATTAATTTTTTTGTAAAATTTTAATTGAATTTAGTTGAAATTATTTCAAGTTTTTCTTCTAAATATTTAATTGAATAATTTCCGAATAATCAATGAAATTTCGTAAAATTGAATTGTAAAACAAATGAATTTGATAATAATTCTCAAAAAACTTTTGAAAAAATTATTAAAAATAATTGATAATTGATTTCTTTCGAAGAATTTGAATAAAATTTTTTAAAAATAATGTTATATTTCGAAGAATTTACTTAAAATTGTATTAAAAATAATTTAAATCCTATGAAGAATTTTCTTATTTAGGGAAATAATTGAATTCTTGCAGCCAATTTTTATTAAATTATTTTTAAATAATTGAAATTTCGTGCAGAATATTATTATTTAGGAAATTAATTGAGGGGCTGGATGCTATAATGTGTTACGCGCCATGTTAAGTGAATGGCGTGTAACACATTATAGCATCCGGCCCCTCAATTGAATTCTTACGACGAATTTTATTAAATTTTTTTTTTAATAATTGAAATCTTGTGAAGAATTTGATTATTTATGAAAATAATTTAATTCTTGGAACGAATTTTATTTAATTTTTTTTAAACAATTGAATTCTTTTAAGAAATTTTTATTAAAATATTAGATACAGAAAATTATTGAATTTCAGCGAAGAATTTTATTATTTGTGAAATATAATTGAATTCTTGCAAGGAATTTTATTATATTTTTTTTAAATAATTGAATTTCTTGGAGAAATTTTATTAAAATAGTAGATTTTGAAAATATTTAAATTTCAGAGAAGAATTTCATTATTTCTGAAATGTAATTGAATTCTTGCAAAAATTTTTTGAAAATAATTACATTTTTCGATGAATTTATTTAAAATTATATTGAAAATAATTTGAAATCCTATGAACAATTTTATTATTTATGAAAATAATTGTATTCTTAGAACGAAATTTTATTTCAATTTTGTTAATATAATTGAATTCATGTGAAAAATTGTATTACTTGTAAGAATAATTGAATTCTTGTGAAGGATTTTATTAAATTTTTTGTAAATAATTAAATTTTTTGTTGAAAAATTTTATGGAAATTTAAATTATTAAAAAACACGAAGACATAGAACGTTGATCTATATCTTCATGTTTTTTAATAATATTCTTCCAAGTTGTTGAATTTCGAAAAGGTTTGAATTTGAAATTTTTTTAAAAACCTTAATTTCGATGGAATAATAATAATTATTATCATTTTTTTTTTAGAGTAAATGAAAATATTCTTTTGGGTCAGGGAAAAAGTCAAAATTTTGTTTGCAAATCAGTGTAAAACAAAATTAATTTTTTGTGGCAACCCTGTTTTTTAAAAAACTGATGAAAGGAATTAAAAATTACCTCTTAGAATTAAGTTATATATTAAAATTGTAATTTTTAAAAACTATTTTTCTGAAAATTGCAGACAATCTGTGCACATTGGTTATACAGACTTTACAGAAGACGACGTATCAAGAATTGTTTCTGAATTAGGAAAAGATTTCCGAGGCGATCGTTATCATTTGATGAATAAAAATTGCAATCACTTCAGCAGTCAGTTTACTCAGGTATGATTAATTTTCAAATTATTTTTTTATTCTTTTGCTATTTTTATTTTATGTATTTTACTTATTATATTTTATGAATTTTACTTATTTTATTTTATGAATTTTATTTATTTTACTTATTTCATTGTATGAATTTTATTTATTTTACTTATTTTATTTTATGTATTTTACTTATTTTATTTTGTGTATTTTATTTATTATTTATTTTGTATCATTTTACCTATTTTGCTTAAAATTTCTTTCTCTATTTCCAAATAGATTTTGTGCGATCAAGAAATTCCTGGCTGGGTGAATCGTTTGGCGTACATAAGTTCCTGTGTTCCATTTCTTCAGCGCTGCCTTCGAAAAGAGTGGTTGACGCCGGTCGCTCTTCAACATTCGATTAGCCAGGTTAGTCACAACGACAGCACACCACCATCTGACACTTCTTTGTAACATTTATTAAGCAACGCAGAGGAAGAGGAGAACGAAGAAGAAGAAGAAGACGAGAATAAAGTTTTCAAATGCCGTAGAAGTCATACCTTCTAGACAATTTACAGCATGCGTACAAAGAATATTATTAATAATATTGATACTTAGAACATTTTTAGTATGCATAATTCAATTAAAAATTATGAGAAACGAAAGAGAGAGAGAGAGAGTTGAGGCACGAAACTCACAGTAACGAAAGAAAGATAATTTTCCTTCGCAACTGTGACAATTCCTCAAAGGTACATTCTCATGTAAATACTCCTTTCTCCTAAAAGAAAATTGGAAAATTTCCTCTCCTAATCGTGGAGAATAATTTAGTAAGAAATTTTTCCAACTAATGAGAATGTAGCCTTAAATAGAAAGAAAAATTCCCCCCATTCCTCGGGGCAAATGTTTTTTCAAGAAAATTAAATTAAAAACAAAAAATACAAATTTAGCCCCACGAACAAAATTATCGCCGATTAAATATTTATGGCTTCCTGATGATCCAGAATATTCCCAATACTAAAGTCGAAGATTAACTCTATTTTATTATTTAATTTAGAAGTAAACATACGTATAAAAATAAAAAAGGGGCTGAAATTGTGCTTTAATTGTAGAGATTATAGGCGCGTAACTAATATTTAAATAATTGACACTAAGATTATAGTTCGAAAGAAAAATCGATTGCCTACGAATCAAATCCTCAAGGAGACTGAAAAAGCTTGTTTATAAACCGCTTTAAATGAGCTAAATATGATTTTCTTAAAAAAAAGAACTCGTTTCAACGAAAGCAAACGAGATTTTCTTTTATTGACTCAACAGAGAAAAAACCCCGATTTTTTGCTAAAGTTCTAAAAAGTTCTTTTTTTCGTTCGCTCGCGTGAAGCATGAGAATATGAGAGGAGGCATTTTTCAAGCAAATCCATCTCGAGGAGGATTTTATACTCCGTAATAAAAAAAAAAGTTATTACATCGATAGCCAACCAAATGAATTGACAAGGTCTATAAAATTGTAAATAATATTGTTGTCTTCAATAACGAATAACGTTATTTGTTAACAAAAAAAATGAAAAAGGGAAAAAGAAAAAAAATGAAAAATATTGTAGACGAGTTTAACAGTGTTCGATGGGGGTGAAAAAAACGTCTACGATTTCAACAAATTTACTTTTTCTACGTCACCATAAAGGTCCATAAATTATTAGTGCCAAGTTGCTTCCCCATTTTTTATGACCATTTATTCCATAATATTTCTCTTAGACCTCAGATAATTATTGCGTCAATTGCAAAAAGAAATAATTAATTTTCAAAAATAATGGGAAAATGTTTATTCAAAAACTGATTAAATTAAGATTTTTTTCTTCAATAAGTGAACCATTTTATCTTCTATTTTTTAAAAATAAACTGAAACTTTTTTTCAATTTGCTTGTTGAGAGTTTGAAATAAGTACTTAATATTGTTCACTGACAAAAAAAGGAATATAATTCACTTTGAAAATTTTGTGCGTTTTATTTTCAAAAATTTGAGGGGTTTATCGTATTTTTTTTAATATAGCTACAAATAACAGTGATATGAAATTTGCATTTGTAGAAAAGAAATGCACAAAATAATTGAGAAAATTTGTTTTTAAATTTTATGAATGAATGTTGTCTCTTTTTTTCTGAAAAAATGCAGCGAATTGTTAAAAGATATCGAGTTCATTTTATTCTCAGAATGAATTTCTTTTCTCCTAAAAAGAAAATAGTCTCATAGATAGAATAAATGTGTTTGTGAAAATATTTCATGTATAAAAACGTATTTTGTACCGTTTTCTAGTGTCTATGATAAAAATATAATAATATTCATCTCACCAAATAATCTCGATATCTTTTAACATTTTTTATATTACTGCTCATTGTAAATTATGTACATTTTATGATTTCTACATTTTTTTTTTTTTTTTGTTTTAAACGTTTTAAATATTTTTAAAAATACTTTTTAATTGTAACTGTATGTGTAGTATTTAATTATTTCGATTTCGATTAACTTTTAATTATTCACAATCATCAGGATTGTTATCTAATCTAAATTACAATTTTCGTATATCACGCACAGTGTGTTTATGTTGATCATTAAATTTCAGAAATTAGTACATTTTTTTAAAAATTCTTTTTTTCAAGTGTACATTTTATTTAAGAAATTAAATTGTAAATTCCGACTACTTTTATATAAATGACTCATTTGTTTACTTTTATACGTAAATGATTAATTTTATCGATAATTTTATGAATTTAATGAAGAAAATTACTGATTAATATTAATTAATTAAATAATTAATTAATTAAATTAATTATATTAATAATAGAAATACTGTAATGAAATTATTCCTGAGTAAATTGCTCAGAAAATGTCACAATACTTTTGTTTTACTTAAATTTTTGATTTGTTACATTAATTATAATTTATAGAAATAAAATATAAAATATTTGAAGAACAAAAAATTAATGCACAGATCTCTAATTAATTTTAATTTTTTTTAAACCTTTAGTTAGTGTAAAAAACGTTCGATTTATATTTAAGATTAGTTTTTAAGGTATGAATAAAATATACATACAATATATTAATATAGAATTCACTCAATTCTGTATAAGTTTAGCTGTTGTTTTATGTCATCCATCGATGATTCTGGAAATAAATCTTGACGATCCTGAATTAATTTCATGACCTGATTTAAAGTTTGTGATTCTTTCCTGCAAAAAATATAAAGAGCAAAAAAAACTTGTAGAATTTAATAAGTTTTTTAAAATTAATTTTAAGTAGATTTTATTTCAAACTTACTCTTTTTCTTTATCTTTATTTTGCGTTGTATTAAATTTTTGTTCCATTAATATTTGTTTCGCTTGTTTAAAACTTGCTTGCAAACCTTGACGAATAATTTCATCATTTTCTTCTATTTCAGTTGCTCTTTCTTTCTATTAATAAAAAAATATATAAAAAGCAATTAAATTAAGGTAATTAAAATAATTATTAATTCCTTTTTAATATTAATAATTCTTAATAATAAATTATATTAATAAAAATTATACTTCATTATAGAATTATATTTCAAATTTAATTAACATAATTGTAACTAGTTCATTTTACTTTTCTATTTCTACCGATTTTAAATGATTGAAATTAACATTTTTACTAAATATTAAATAAACTATTATAATATTTAATAGTAAAATCATATTCTTCAAAATTTAATACAAAGTTTAGAAACTCCAAATTTATAAATTATATGCAAATTTAGAATTATTGTAAATTAATTGTTTCAGAATTGTTACCTTACCTCCCTTACCTCATAAATAAATAATTATTAAAATTATTTAAACTTACTCGTTTGTGCAGGTGTAAATTAAAAATTACTCCAAATATTGTAATTATAAAAGCAGCAATTAAAATTTCAATTATATAAACATTTGCAAAATTAACAAAAAATTGCAAAATTGTATTCATTATTCATAATAGTGATTATAAACAAAATTTAATATCAGAAATTAAAGGAAAGAAAATTTAAAAACAGTTTGTATATTTCAATTTTTGAGGTTATACATCTGAGATATATTATTTCCGCTAGAACCAGTAATGATAAATATTATTCTAGAGAAATGACGACGGAGATATAATTATTTATAGTCTCAAAACATCCAAGACTCTTGAAAGTAAAAATATATTGTAAATTTGAAAAAGAAAATTATATACGTACTATATACATAGTTTTTGTTTAATAAATTAATAACAATAATAGAAATATACGCTTTTAACAATAAAGACAATAAACAAACTGTTCTGATAATTTATTACATAGTTCTTTTAAATTTAAATAACAATAATATAATAATAATTTAATTAATAATAATTATAATAATAATGTTAATAGTAATAATATTAATAATGATAATAACAATAATTATTATTATTATTATTATTCCTATTATATTATTATTGTTATCATTATTATTGTAATAAATGTATAAAATTCTTTGAGAAATGTTTACAAGAGAGATTTTAAAGAACTATATTTACACAGTAAAAATGTATATAGAACAAAAACTTTACTCGATAAAAAAAAATTACACCTTCACCCTATGTGATTTTCTTTTCATAAAAATTCAATTTTATAAAATTATGTAAACAATATAGTCGTATATCAAACAATCTAAAATCTACCTAATAAATTGTATATAATAAATTACTGTAAGAAATATTTTCGTTAAACATTCTAAAACATTCTTCTTGTTTAAATAAAAATATTGTAAAAATGTCCACTAACTATAATGACTAGCTGAAAACTACAGTAAAATTGTTTCTACTAATTGTTTCTAACATTATTTCTTTTTAATGAAAGAGAAAATATTGTAAATTTGTTTCTCTTTACATAAATTTAACCTTCTCTTTAAAATTTTAAGGAGATTCTTTACTAAAAACTTAACTATATTATTTATTTGAATTGGAAGAACTAATAAAATTGATTTATGATTCAAGAAGTATGGATAAACTTCTTTCTAGATTGACATTTTTTTTAAAAAAAGATTTTTCTTTAAAAATGATTTTTTAAAAAATCTTTTAAGCTAGTGATTATTTGTATTGGGCCCGAAAATATTTGAAAATTCTGATTCACAGCAGTGACATTTATACAGTTATTCAACATTTTTTTTTTGTTTGTCTCGATATGTTTAGAGTTTTTAGACGTTAGAAAATTTATCCAAATACCAATTGTGATCTTTCATAGTTGCCAGTACGCCGGTATTCAGTACAGTTGGATCATTTGATCCGAAGGAAATTCTACCAGAGCTTAATAAGGGTGTCATTGTCCCACCGAGAGCCCTAAGGAAAAGAAAATACAAAAATTATTTTTATTGTACATTTTTCAGAATCTATTTTTTACTTTTCAAAAAATTTTACCTAATAATAGCAGCACACGCACAAATGTCCCATTTTTTAATTGCTGTCATATGAACGTACGCGGTCACATTTCCAGCGGCAACTTCCAAAGCTTTGTAACCTAAGAGGTAATTAATTTTCAATAAATATAATTAAAATCTCCTGTGAATGTAGTAGTTGGGGACAAATTTTTTCTTTTTTAAATAAATACCTGCTCCGGCAGCTGAAACAATTTGGACATTATCCCCAAAAGCCAATCTGGAAGCATTTTGAATTATTCCGGCATGTGATCTCGAAACAATCAGCACTGGAATTTTAATATCTTCTGGCTGTTGGAAAAAATTAAATATATTCATAAAGGATAAAAATAATAATAATTAATAATTAATAATTAGTCGCTTACCAAAACGTGATTATTCAGATTAGGTGAAGATCCATGACCAACCCAAGCCCAATATGTTGATTTTGATTCAAAAGGTTTATGTATCACTCCAATAACTGGTTCCTTCTTTACGGAAATGCAAACCATTGTTGTGACGTATTGTAATAAATTTTCTGATAAAGGAAAGAATTAAAAAATGTAATAAAATTCTTGGCAAAATTTCAATTATTTTCAAAAAATTTCCTCAACTCAATGATTTTCAATATCTACTATTTTAATAAAATTTTCCAAAAGAATTTAATTATTTTTAAAAAATTTTGATAAAATTCTACCCAAACATTCATTATTTTCATAAACAATAAAATTATTCTCAGGAATTCAATTATTTTCAAAAACTTTAATAAAATTTAAATTTGAAGAAGTTAACAATTTAATTTTAATAAAATTTGTTGCAAAAATTTCTTTTATTTTTATAACTAATAAAACTCATCGCAGGATTCCAATTATTTTGAATATAATTTTAAATTAATTCCTCGAAAAATGCAATTATTCTGAAAAATTCTATTGCACTTCTTCAAAATAATTAAATTATTAAAAAGAAAATTTTTATAAAATTCTTTGCAAGCCTTCAATTATTTTCATAAATACATAAAATTTTCATGGATTTCAATTATTTAAAACACAATTTTCATAACATTTTTCGTAAAAATTCAAATATTTAAAAAAAAATTTATTTAAATTCTTTGCAAGAGTTCAATTCTTTAAAAAAATTAATAAAGTTCTTCGCAAGAACTCAATTATTTTTATAAGTAAATAAAATCCATCGCAGGATTTCAATTACTTTTAATACAATTTTAAATTAATTTTTTAAAAAATTATTAAAAATAATTGATTTAAAGAAGAATTTAGTTAGAAATTCTAGAAAAGAAGAATTTTAGTTAAAAATTCCAGAAAAGAAGAATTTAATTGAAATGATGAAAATAATTTTGAAGAAGTTCTAGTAACAATATTCTAATAATATAAAATAATGATTTTATCACTCGGTCATGTTTTATCAGTTATGAAAAAATTTAATTTAATAGTTTTAAGTAAAATGTTCTCTTAATTGACTCTGACCGGTTATATTTTGTCAGTAATCGGTCCGTAATTTTTCATTTTTTAACTGTAAAGTTCGTATTTTTAATACTTTCAGTGGTTTGAGCCCTGAAATACGCATTTTATTAATACTTTAATAAAATGTCAAATTTAAAATACCTGTAAATTCTTTAGTGGCGTCCAAAGGATCGATCCATATGGTAACATCATTAACATTAACAAACGAATCATCGAAATTAAAATCCTGTAAATTTTTCAACGAATCTTTCAAATCGGAAACATTAACTTTGTCGCATTCTTTAGATTTTTCTTCAGATATAACAGTCAATTTGGGAAATGCCGTTGTCAGTGCATTATACATAGCACAGTGTGATCTATAATCAGCGGCTGTCACCGGATCATTAACACCTTAAAGAAATGGGGGAAATTAAAAAAGAATTTATAAATTTTAAGTCAAAAAAATATTAAAATTCAATGCGTTGAAATATTGTGAATTTTTTATTATAACCTTACCTTCTTTCGTTTTTCCTTTACTCTCAATATTCAATCGCATATTGTTATGAACGGCAATTATTTCTAAACCTCCCATTTCTGCTGCTCTAATTGCACCCGCAAGTAATTGCTTCATAGATATTGTATTTTTTGCAATATTTGTCGATGTACGAACAGAATAAAGATAAACTAAAATTAAAAGTCCCCCAATTACACATAGTCCGAGTTTCCGTATTCGTAAATTAGCACCGAGGTACATTTTCCTTTTCTTTTTTATTTCTTTCTTTACAATATAGAGGAATGACACTTTTTTCTTAGTTTTGTTATTATTCAAAATTTCAACAAAATACAAGTCGCAGCCATGTTTTGTTTTTATTTGTTGTTGACTTGTTGTCAAATAACAGTGTTGCCAATTTCCAATTGATAAGACCATAAAGTATGTTTATAGACTGTAATCCTATATTAATTTATCTTAAAAATTAAGCTTGACTCACTAAACTTATTGCACTCGTTGCCATAGCAACATTCACCTTTAGTCCACATGGAAATTTTTAGGTTATGTTCAAGTGGTGATTGTTGTAATTGTTTGTCGGAAAATTATTTATAACAATAAATTACAAATATTAAATAAAATCTGATGGAAATGGATGGAAATTGAAAAGACAATTGACAATGAAAGACAATTAACTGAAATGACATTTTACTGTCACTATTTTTATCAATTGAGAACAATAAATTTGCAATTATGTTGTCAAAATCAAAAATATTTGTGACTTGCCAAATCAGATGGGTAAGTGTAATGTTTTTTTTTATTATTTTCTGTAGGTATTAATATTTATTGATTATTTCTATTTTAGTGTTCAACAGTGGCAAGACCTCGATTAACAGAATCGGTAAATACTTTAATTGATAACAATGAAATAAAACACAGGCACCATCCTGGAATAATAAAAAAGAATGTAATTTCTCTACCACGGCCAATTTTTGATGCTATAAAACTTGTTTTGGAAGGTAATATTAATAGAATAATAAATAAAAAGAATAAAATATACCGTCAATACTGGATTTCTTTAAAAAATATTTAAGTTTAAATAATTAATTAAGATTAATAATTAATTTCAGATTATCCAAATAGAGCGCAGATTATTGGAGAAAGTGTTGGATTTGGAGATCATTTATACGGTCGTCATGTACCTTTAGAAGAGAAGGAGCGAAAATCGTTATACGACAATGCACACGAAAAGTTATTAAAAAAGAAGAATTTAAAAGACTTATCGGTTGATGAATTACATAAAATAAAGAGAAAAAATGAAGGAAAGGTTTCAGCTATCGTAAAGCAGAAGGTCAATTATTGGCAGGAAACTATTTACGATACACACAAAAGTTTAATGTACATGATTGCTAGAAGTGTTCCAAATTATGCAGTTCTACATTCTATTTTCAATGAAATTCGTATTCGCGATGAGAAATTCAAGCCAAAGAATGTTCTTGATTTTGGATCCGGAATCGGAAGCACAATCTGGTAATTATTCTCATCTCCATTTTATTTATAAAATCAAAACTTTCTTTTTGCCTTCGGAATTTATTTCTCAACTAGCAAATGATACGCGCGCTACACGCCGCACTCCATTTATTATTATTTTGTAAATTACAAAATTTTATATTTTCAAGAATAAACATAAATTTTCGAAATTATTACAAATTACAAACTTAAAGAATTTACTTATTAAGTGCTTACATAATATTAAATATTTTTGTTTTTTATACAAAAAAGATTTTTAGCAAGAAATTAATTATTCTCATAAATAATAAAATTCTTTAGAGCAATTAAATTATTTTCAATACAATTTTAATAAAATTTCTCGAAAGAATACAATTATTTTTAAAAATATTAATTAAATTCGATTATTTTCAAGAATTTTGATGAAATTCTTTTTAAAAAAAAAAATCATTATTTTAAAAATTTAAAATAAAATTCCTTCAAAACAATTCAGTTATTCTCAAAAATTAAGATAAAATTCTTCGAAACAATTCAATTATTTTTATGAATTGTAAAATCCTCGACAAGAACTAAATGAAATTCAATTTTATTGTATTTAAAATAATTGAATTCTATCGAAAATTTCATTATTTATGAAAATAATTGAATTCTTGTATTTAATTTTATTAAAAGTTTTTTAAATAATTGAACTCTTGTGAAAAATGCAGTTCTTTTTAAAATAATTGAATTTTCTCAGAGAATTTTTACAAGATTTTTAAAAATAGTTGAAATTTTTGAAAAAAAATTAATTTAAATTGCACCTTTTGAAAATAAGTGAAATCCTGATAAGAATTTTATTTATTTATTTATATAATTAATAATTTTATTATTTATATAAAAATAATTTAATTTTTTACAAAGATTTTTATTATTTATAAATTGACTTTTTGTAAAGAATTTTTTGTACAATTATTGAAAATAATTGAATTGTTAATAAATCCAATTACTTTCAAAATTTTCAGTAAAAATTATTTTAAAAAATCTCCATTATTTTCAAGAATATTGAAATAAATTCTTAAAAACAATTCAATTATTTTAAAGAATTTTAATAAAAATCTTGTCAAGAATTAAATTATTTTCAAAATACAATTTTAATTAAATTTTCTCGAAAGAATTCAATTACATATTGAAAAAATGTCGAAAAAATTCTTGAAATTAATTCAATTGTTTTTAAATTTTTTTATGAATACTTTAAAAGAATTCAATGATTGTCAGTACATTAATTTTGAAGAAAAATTATTATTTAAAAAGTTAGGAAACAAAAAAGCAAACAGCGACTAACTTTAAACTACGAACGGATTACTGCGGAATACAACGATTATTAATATAGATTTCTCTCTCTCTCTTTCTTTCTCTCTAGGGCAATAAACGAACTGTGGCCAAAAGAAGTCAAAGAATTTGTGAATGTCGATATTTCAAATGAAATCATTTCACTTTCTGAAAGAATAATTAAAATTCTGTATCCAAATTTCGAGGGAATTATATATCGACAGTTTATGCCAATGTCATTACGAGTAAGAAATTATTTTCAAACAATTTTTTTTATAATTACAATATTATTGTCTCCGTATTTAAGATTTTTTAATCGTATTTAGCCTAATTATGACATCACAGTGAGCGCACATTCTCTGATTGAATTACCAAATACGAAAACTAGACTAGACGCAGTCATGAAACTTTGGAAGAAAACAAAAAATTATTTAGTCATTGTTGAAGATGGAACGAGTGCAGGATTTCAAGTGAGTATATTTTTCTAAAGATGACATTCATTTTTTTAATACTAAATTATTATTTGAAAAATATTTTTAATTTTCAGATTGTATCCGAGGCTCGAGATTTTATTTTACATTTATCGAATTTAAATGATAAAGACAACAAACCTGTGGAAACTCACGTTTTCTCTCCTGTAAGACGTTCTTTTTTATTTATTTACATTTTACACATACATTATACATTTTATTTTTTTTTATTTGAAAAAAAGTTTACTTTAACAAGAAATAACACTTTTTGAAAACTATTTTCAGTGTCCTCACGATTTTGACTGTCCAAAACCAAATAGTTGTTATTTTGAGGCAGGATACAATTCTATATCGTTTCTGGGAAAAACGGTGAAACATCAACGTTATTCATACGTCGTATTTAAGAAAGGTAATTTTGTTTTTTAAGAAATAATTATTTATTCAAAAGTATCATTTGAAAATCATTCTTTAAATCGCAGTTTCAAAATTAACAATATTTTAATTTTAATCAGTTATAATTAAAATTTTAATTAATATATATAAATTAATTAATTATAATCAATTAAAGTCAATTGAAAATATTTATAGGTGGCAAATTAGGAGATGATAGCGATTGGCCTCGATTAATTAGTTCACCTTTAAGGCGAGGAGGACATGTAATTTGTCGAATGTGCAATAGTTCTGGAAATTTAAAAGAAATTATTTTTACGCGCAACAAACATGGAAAGTAAGTTATGAAAATTTTATCCCTTTTTCTTTCAATTTAATGTATACTTGATAGTAACAATTTTTACTGAATGTTCACTTGATAATTCAAATATTTTATTAAATTGTGCATTGTTTATTATGAAATTAAATATTTCTAAATCTTTTTTATATATTTTTTCAGAAATCTCTATCGTTGCGCAAAACTTTGCAAATGGGGTGATCGAATTCCATTAGAAATGAATGTTAAAAGTGATAAAAGTATAAATATTGAGAGCGACAGTAAAAATAATGAAAACACGACAGAAATGATAGAAAATGAAGATTATAAAGACGAAACTATCAAATAGTGATCAAGAAATAAATTCTCCCACCAGTGTCAAATATTATTTGTAAGTATTTTATTTTAATTATTTACGAAAAGTCAATAAATAATTTTCGAATTTTTAAAACTTTTCCCTCTATAATAACTAATTAAAATTTCCAAAAAATACTAACACGGGTATTAATTACAAAGGAAGATTTTTCGCAAAATAATTTATTAACCTTGTAATAAAAGAAGACATTTTTTTTTTATTGTAAAAAGTAGAGAAAAAAATTCTTTTCGGTCCGTATAATAATACAAAAAAAATTAATAGAAAAAAAAATTCGCAGCGTAAAAAATTACTTAGTTTTTCTTCAAACATCCAAAAAGATAATTATTTTTCTTTTGATTTCTGTCGAAATTAACATTTAATAGAAAAAGAAACGCACGATAGTAGTAAAATTAAATAACTCAAGTTTAGGATAAAACACTTTTCTCCATTCATCAAAATTCGAGTGCTCTGTCCATAAAAATGTGACTTAAACGCTATTTATTATTACACTATCATTTTTTTAAAATTAGTCGCTAATTTCTTTTTTCAATTCAGTATTTCGCTAATTTACACTATTTTTCATAAATTTTTTCGGCAAATAAATTATATTGTATTTTCTAGAGAGAAGAAAGTTTTTTTTTCTTCTTTTTTCATTTGAACATTTATGACAAGAGGAAATCAATTTTTTAAATTCACTATATAAATTCTATTTTTAGAATGTAAAAAACATTCTCTAGTGGGGTTTTTTTGCACTGTTGTTATTTACAACACAAAAATATACTATCATTCAACAAAAACAATAAAATTTTTATGTAAAAATTACATTTCTCCTTGTATCTGGGTCAATTCGCGGTTAAATATATACTGACTCGATTTTTTTTTAATTTCCCTATCAGTAAATTGCTAATCTCTTGACTATTAATTTTTTAACACTTTTTTTGATTAAATCTATTTCAACGAGTTGGTGTTTGATATTTCTGTCGCAGGGGAAATTGAATAAATTCTAATGATAAACTCTTCACTAAATATTAAATTGTAGTGATTTCATTAAAAAAATGTCGCGTTATTATGTATTTTTAAATCTAAATATCGCTCTTTAAGGGAAGTATCCTGTTTGAAGTGTTTATTTATTCTTGAAGAATCGAAATATTTAAGTAATAAATTAAATGTTTCAACTAATTTAAATTACTAGGAATTTTTTATAATTTTTTTCTGCTCTTTTTTCATTTAGAGACAATGTAAAGGAAAAAAAAATAATCACAAAAGATATTTTTCTTTTTATCTAAAAATATCTCTATGGACGAATCGGCATGCTTTCTAATGTATTTATTCTTAAGACTTATTAATCATTCTGACTTTCTCTCATTCTCACTTGCACTTGATGGCACGCACTTTGATTGTGTCTTTGAATTATTCTCATCATCACCGCCCGTCTCTTCCAATAATTCATCGTCATCCTCGTCCTCGTCCTCATCTTCAACTTCCTCGAGAAGTTTCTTCCTCGCCAATTGTACCGCCTCCCATTCTCGATAGTGTCCCTTTCTTTTTGCCTCAAATGCTTTTCTTTTCTCTGCAACAAAAAAAAAAAAATTGTCAATTTTCTTTAATAGAAAAAAATATTCTTTTTTATAGAAATATTCTTTATTTTATTCAAAATTACCTCTTTCTTCGGGAGTTTCTTCATCTTCCTCGTCACTGGACTCTTCGAAAATTTTTGGTTGTACATTTTTCTCTAATCTAAAATTAATAATTTTTACATTTTGTTTTAATTTTGATTGTAAAAATTAATTTTCGGTATTTTTCCTCTTTTTTCGTTAAATTTACGGTAATTATTAAAATTATTACTTACTTTGACGCAACTGCTGATGAATCGAGATGATCCATGTCTTCATTCATTGCCGCATAATTATATGGGGTTTTTGGTTCTTCTATTTTCATGTGACCATAATCTTTGTCAGCTGGATGTAGTGTTGCAATTATATTCATTTCGTCCCATTTTGTTTCTTTACTCGCTCTGAAACATTGATTATTTAACTACATATATATAGAAACTGAAATTTTCCATCAAACGAAAAGAAAAGGGTCACGGAAATTTTTTTCAGAATATTTACTTTTTTTCAAAATTTTTTACTTTATTTTCAGAATTTATCCGCATTTTTGAAGCACAAGGTTGCCACAAATATTTAATTTTATTTTTCCCTGATTTCCAGACAAAATTTTGACTTTATCCCTGACCCTAAAGAATATTCTGATTCACTGTAAAAATTATTAGATACTCAAAAAAATTCAATTATTTAAAAAAAATGTAATATAAAATTGCTCGAAAGAATACAATTATTTTTAAAAATATTAATTAAATTCTATTATTTTCAAGAATTTTAATATAAATTCAATTATTTTCAACAATTTTGAATAAATTCTTTTAAGAAAAATCATTATTTTCAAACTTTTTAATAAAATTCCTTCAAAAAATTCAATTATTCTCAAAAATTGAGATAAAATTCTTCGAAACAATTCAATTATTTCTATAAATTGTAAAATCCTTGGCAAGAATTGAATTATTTTCATAAATAAGAAAATTCTTCGCAAGATTAAAATATTTTCATTAGTAATAAAATTCTTCAAAGAAATTCAATTATTTTCATAAATAATAAAACGTTTCGGAGGAATTCAATTATTTTCTATACCATTTTAATAAAATTGCTCGAAAGAATACAATTGTTTTAAAAAATATTATTTAAATTCAATTAATTTTCAAGAATTTTAATAAAAATGCAATTATTTTCAACAATTTTGATAAAAAATTCTTTGAAACAATTCAAGATAATTTTAATAAAATTTCTCTAGCAGGTTCAATTATTTTGAAAAATTGTCATACAATTTTTAGAAACAATTTAATTGTTCTTAAAGGTTTTTATAAAATTCTTTGTAAATTTCAATTATTTTCAAAATTTTCAATTAAAATATTACTTTTAAAAATTCTTTATTATTACGAAATTTAATGAAATTTTTCAAAAAAAAAAAAATTACATATTTACAAAAATCCTAATAAAATTCTTCGCAAGAATTCAATTATTTGTAAAAGTAGTAAAATTTCTCAAAAAAATTTGAAATTTCGACAAGAATTTTTTTTTAATCTTTGAACATAATTGAATTTATGCGAATAATTTTATTACTTTTGAAAATAATTGAATTCTACCAACGAATTTTATTCAAGTTTATAAAAATAACTGAATTTCTGTGAAGAATTTTATTATTTTTATAAATATGCATTTGAATTCTTGCAACGAATTTTATTCAAGTTTGTAAAAATAATTGAATTTCGGTGAAGAATTTTATTATTTATAAAAATAATTGAATTTTTGAAAAGAACTTTGTTAAATTTTTTTTTAAATAATTGAATTCTTGCGACGAATTTTATAAAACTCTTTTTAAATAATTGATATTTTTCTAAAAATTTTATCAAATTTTGTATCTTAAATAACTAAAATTTTCAAAAATATTTGAATTTTGAAGAAGAAATTTATTATTTATAAAGATAATTGAAATTTTGACAAGAATTTTAAAAAAATTTTTGAACATAATTGAATTTATGCGAACAATTTTTATAACTTTGGAAAATAATTGAATTTCTGGAATCATTTGTAATTTTTCCAAAATCCAATTTTTTTTTTAGTATTTTTAACTAAAATTCTTCTATAAATCTAGTATTTATGAAAATTGTAAAAATTATTCATTAAATAATTTATAAGTCATAATTTTATGATAGTTCCTGAAAAATTAAGTTATTTGAAAATAAATTATTGTAAGTTATAGAAAAAATTGAAGGTTTTGTATTAAAATTCTTTTTAATTTTATAGTTTACGAGGCAAACAAAAAAAACATCAAAATTCAGAGTTTTCTCATGAATTTTAAATTTCCCTGGCTTTTCCCTGAATTTTTTGACCTGTGGCAACCGTGAAAAATTTAAATTACCTTTAATTAAAAATAATAATCGAAAAGCAATAAAAAGGAAAAATCACCAAAAGATCTAGTTATGGAAAAAAATGATAGAAAATGGAGATTTTTTCTTATTTGGCAATCACCAAATCGTAGTGTAATAGAGAAAATTGATTTTTCCTCGACATTCACAATCGAGAGAATATTGAAGGTGGGATGAGTGAATGAAACGTTATACACATACAAATTAACCGGATGCTGTAATTTTCATCTATTCGAAACAATCACTAACCATTTGATAACGTGTTTAAAATGTCAATGTTTTAAAATAAAATTTCTATTTTTACTCGAACGTGATTATTATTTATGCAAATGATTTTCCTCTCTTATTTTTATTGTCATTCACAAGACAATTGAAATGGAAAAAAAGACTTGAATAGGAAATTAACTTTTTAGTCTCTCAACGATACGAAGCTTATTAACTTTTTCTTTTTTTCTCTATAATTTTTTATTAATTGAAACAGACTTCTTTTTTGTAATAATGATTTAAATGATAATCAACAATATTTTTTCATCGATCATAAACCTTAAAAGATTAAATCTCTAGGTTTATTATTTTGTTTCTTTTCAAACTTGAGTGATCTTGAGGAAAATTGAAAATTGTTTGGAAAAATAATCTTACTCATCTAGTGTGGGAGTATTGAATTTATCATCTAATTTTATCATGACTCACATATTCTTTTTCATGGAATAAGTAAATATAAATTGTTGAGCAGTTTATTACTGTGTTTCATGGAATAACTAAAGTGTAAATTGTTGAGCGTTTTATTACAGAGTTTATACCTTCAAATCTTACAATATTGGTAATTTTTTTTTCATCAACGCACGCGATTTAACAATTAAGTGATTCAACACGCAAAACAAGAATATTGTACCAAAATAAAAATACCTTTACACAAAAAAAAAAGAAATCGACAGTGGTATTTTTTTGCAAAAACTATTTTGAGAGAAAAAATTCTCAAGTAAAATAATTCTCAATCAGTAAAGTAGTAAGATCTCAAGTAAAGTTATGAATGAAATGTAGAGAAAATTCTACAAACAAAATATAATCTTTTAAGTAAGGACAAACTGATTTGCTTTAATGAGATTAAAAGCGTGGCGATGAAGCTGTAAAGAAGCTCTATTACCGCGCCAAGTGTCAGGTTATGATTGCAATGTTTTTTCAAGGTAAAACTTTTGAAAGGGTTTTTTTTTGTTATTATTTACCTCGGTGCTTCTTGATTGTCAAAACTGCTGGATGTCTTTAAAATCCCTTTTGAAGGGCGTTTGCCCAAATTTTCTGCCATTCTTCTTTTGATAGTTTCTTTCGGAGTAGAAAAATGCAAACCGATGGATTTTGATTTGATAATAATGTACACTTTTTTTTCAAAAAAGAAAATTCAGTTTTAAATTCTACGTCTTCCCATTATTAATGTAATTCACTTGATCGAATACCGGTGTTAAAAATAAACGCTTTAGTTTTGACAAAAAAAAAATAAAATAATTTAGGATGTAACTCTGGAAGAACTGGGAGATGAAATTAGCAACACATTTCAGTTTCACTTCTGTTTCATTTCTTGCAATAATGTATTATTTTTTTAAACTACATTTACGCTCCTAGCGACTGGCGCCGAAAACAATTTCCAGCATTTTCGATCGATAAAGTTCATAAAATTCATAAAATTTTATCTTTTCTTCTAATGAGGGAAAAAATTGATTTTTTAATTTTTATACTTGAAAATCTTGTTTGTTTTACGTTTTTTAAAATACTGGTCATTAATTTTAATTAATGAAAAAAGAGTGTACAATTTAGCCCCTGTTTAAGAGCTATATTTCTACACTTGTGTATTTTTCCAGAGAAAAAGGGAATTCGAAATTAAATTAAATTAAATTCTATAAATTAGTTGATAATTAACTTGATGAAAAATATATTTAAATTTTATTTACATTAAATGTACTTTGACATGGTATTTCTTAAAATTATGGTTTTTATCATGGTGTAAAAAAATTATAGTATTAAAAAATATTTACAAGAAGAAATTAACTTCTGAGGATATCCAACTCCTCAGGAGTGACGTGTATTCTCAATTCTTTTCCTCGAATGACATCTTGAATTTGTGTCAATTGCTGAGGAGCAATTTCTGCTGAATCTATATAAATACATCGGGCCCATGGACAATTTATTACACTTTCGTGATAAGCGTCTTCTCCCTTTTTCTCGGAAAGATTTTCCTCCCGTAACAATAATATGAACAGTCTCCACAAAAGTGGACAATGACAAATGTCAGGATTGCTGTAAATAATAAAATTTCCAATAAATAATCAATATTGTCACGATTGGCCACAAAGGATAATTTCTACGAAATTTTAATACTTTGGAATTTACTATTCTACTTACCGAGCAAGTTTCCGATAGAATGACAATAATTTATTGAGAAGTGCTCCTGATGCATCCAAAAGATTATTCTCTTTCAGAATTTTAATCCTTGAATTTTCAGCCATGCACATGGTGATCGCTCGCCATAGACGAATTTTTCCTGATTTATTTTGCCGCCACGTCGGTAATTCATACTGTTGAAAATTATTTTCTTAATTTATCTTCTTAATTTTAATTTTACTTATTTTTATTTTCTTGTATATTTTCCCATATTTTCTACAGACAAATATTTTAAAATAAATTATAATAATTACCTCAACATCAGCGAATACAGAAAGAAGGTAAAAATTGTCAGGATATAAAAGCGAAGCTTCGTTTAAAATTTCTTTCAAAGACTGATTCGATTCGTGAATTTTTTCTGCATGGAATTGCAAGAGTGTTAATTCGCTTTCGTACAGACGCTCCTGAAAATAGAAATAAAATTTAATAAAATAAATGACAAATCAATAAAAATAAATAAATAAATAAATAAAAAAACAAAGTAAATAAATAAAATAAAAACGAAGTAAATAAATAAAACAAAAAAAAAGTAAATAAATAAAACAAAACCTAAATAAATACATGAATCGAAATAAAAAAAACTCAGCACATTGAACAAAAAAAATTTACCTTCAATTCCGGGGCATTTTTACAATGTTCCACGCAATTTCGAAACATATTCGTAATTTCACTAATATTCCGATCCAAAATCAATGAAAGATACGCACAACACGTAATCGTATCGCACATCATGTTTGGTAAAAAGAAAGCATCAATACTTTCATCCATTATCTCGTGAGAGAGAAAATCGTCGACAGATTCACGTAAAAATTTATACGCCAACAATAAACGATTACCCGATGTTTCAGGCACCAGTGTCATTGCAATTTTTTTCAGTTTTTCAATATTTGTCAAACGATAAGTTCTCGTATTGAGTAAAATTTCAAAAAGTGTCCTATAAATACTCATGACTGTCAATTTTTCATCTGCATTTTTCAATGTCGCTGGACAAAAATTATTCGATGCAAGAACAGTTTCTAAAATAGTTACAGAACTTTCGAAATGTCCTTGTTCATATTCAATGAGTGCGTACTCGCGATAAAAATGTAAATTATTTCGATTTTCGACTTTCTTTAGAAATTCCTTTACTATGTTCTTCAACTTTTTGCCACTGAAATTAATAATGAAATTGTCAAAATTGAAAGAAGTGCGAAGAAGTGTAATTAATGTAAAATAAAAATCATAATTAAATACTCAACTTAATTATTAAAATTAATAATAATGATCTATTATAGAAAATAATAGATAATTAATTATACTGATGATTAGAATTTTAAAGGGAAAATATTTCTTACCGATTGTCACTTTTTAAGGGATCATCTTTTCCGAAATAAACTAACATTCTTTCGAATCGCAACCACCAGATGTAAATGCTTGTTCTCTCTAAAGGCGGCAAAGCTTCGGCAATTACTCTAAATGTTGATCTTAAGAATTCCAAAAAAGGTTCTTGCGCGGGATGAAATCGCAAATATTGCGGGCCCGATGTTAATTGTCCTTGAATTAAACCTTCGACGAGGGATTTTCTTTTTTGAAAACCAGCCGTTTCTCCTACGCAAGGATAAGCGAATGGCAGTAAAACTTCCAGGGAATCGAAAATCCAGTTCAGATCCTTCAGTCCTAAACTCTAAAAATTATAGCAAATTTTCAGTACATTAATTTTAAAAGTTTAAACATTTAAAAAGAAAAATTATTTTAAAAAGTTAGGAAACAAAAAAACAAACAACAACTAATTTCAAACTGCGAACAGATTACCGGAATACAACGATTATTAATATAGAAGATAGTCAATAATAAAATTTATAAATAATAAATAGTAAAATTTATAAATAGTAAATATTAATTTATAATAAGATAGTGAAAGGAATATTTAATTTTTCACCTTTAAAGTACTATCTCGAGTTGGTAGCAGAGGCACTTTGAGTGCCAAGAGCGAATAAATTGCCAGGTGGAAATTTGAATTTCGCGAGACTAAGGGATGAACAAAGTCGGCCACATCTTCAGGTAAAACAAATCTCTTTGAATCTCCAACCAATTCAAGTTGATCGCTAGTTACACTAAGCCAGTGGCATCTTTCCCTCAATGATTCCACTCGAAGCCAAAGTTGATTCAACGGAAGTTTTGACGTTAGAATTACTTCCTCCATTCCAACTTGATAAATCAGAGAAAGAAAAAAGAATTATTCTCTTTATTCAATCAAATAAATAAATATAGCAAAAACAAACAATACTTACTAAGATTTTTCTCATCAATCGAACTTTGAAATTGTAAATTCTCCTTCCGTAAATCCAGATTTAAACATAAATTCATTCTTATCGTTTCCCACATTTGCTCCCAAAGTCCCGCATGTCTGAGAAACATCAAACACTGAAACATTGTATCTATAACAATTTTATTATTTTTTCGTTAATAGATTTTTATTTAAATTATTGATGATTATTGAAGATTATTATTCAGACTATTGAATATTATTTATTCAAAACAGAAAAAATTTCCTACCCAAAATTAAAAAGGGGAGAAAACTTACTTAAAACTTGCGCATCGTAAATTCGTGGATTTGCTCTTGATCGTTGTCGTAAAATAAAAAGGCATCTTGTAAATAAATTCAAAACACTTGGCGAAGAGCACAATGCGACTGACGATTGTATTGTCATAATTAGAGTTTGCCATAGAATCAAATTACCCGAATCTTTACTGAGAAGAGTCTCCAATTCGTTGGAGAATTGATCAGCCGGTAAAAGCTCAGACATGAGGAATAATTTCATTTTCTCCAAATCTAAGGAGCCGGGATTCTTTTCCAAACCCTTCTCAACGATAGACAACTTTTTTTCAAGTATCGAACGTGAATTATTTTTAAATGGCTGATAAATAATTGCATCATCCTAAAAAGTTAAGAAACAAAGCAATTAAAATAATATTGTAGAATCAAACATCTTGATAGTAAAGAAAAATATATAAATACGTAGCAAAAATGTTTCTAAATGATTTTTATGTATAAATAATAAATAATAATACCTGGAATTCGATAAAACGAAGCCAAATTTGGATATCGTTGGGATCTTCTTCTAATTTTTGATTAAAATTTTGTGTCTTTATTGTTTGTTCTTCTTCAATATTTACACACCATTCGGGTAAACATTCCTCCGGTTCGTTTGTTTTTGTCCTCTTAATAATTGTATCCTTCTTCTTGGATTGTTCAATCATATCAATATTTTTTGAATAATATCGACGAATTGAACGTTTTTTCGTTCGTTTTCCAGAAATGAAACTTAGACTATATTCGGATAAATTGTACAAAGGACGAACTCTCGAGCACAATGTGTCTACTGTACACATTCTTGTGTCTAGAATTCGATCCTCAAAATAAACATTTTCTACTTTTGATTCATATTTTTTTGCAACTTTACTTTTACGTTTCTTTTTTTTCTTATGTTTTCGTAAATTAACTTCTCTGCTGCTTGTCACAATTTTTACATTCTCAGGAATTATTTCTAATTTAGATGAACTTGGTACTTGAATAGAATCATTTTCTGATAAATCCGATGATGAAGTTGATATATCAATGGGTTTGTTGAAGGATATTCCTGATTGAAAACTTACGTTAGAAAGCCAATCAACTTTATTGTTATCTGCAAAAATTTAATTCATTTAATTAAAACTTCTTTAATATTTTTATTTACATTTGTTTATTACAATTTTCCTCTTTTGAAGGCTATGTTTACATTCAATTTTGTAAATCTAAACTATACTTACCACTCGGTGATTCCTCTGTATGGTTTGAATTTGATTTTTCTGCATCTTTTTCATTTGAATAAGCAGGAAAAAGAGACATTTTAATGTTAAATTAATAAATAAATAAATAAACTTTTATAATATTTAATTTTCTTTTGACATGAACCAAACAAGTAGCAGACGACAATGAGAAAAAACATTTGACCAATCAGAAAAGAATTTCAAAACAAGTCCACCAATAGCATGTGTTCTTTTAAATTTCGAACATAACCTCTTTTCGAACAGCTGATTCACTGTACATGTTTGTAACAATAAACATTAAAATGAATTCTTTTTTTTGTAAATTAAATTAATTTTTAATACTGACTGATTGTTTGTATTATGTACACATTGAGAAGGGGTTTAATTTTGGCTGCAATTTTCGGACTTATTAACGGTTATATGTGTTGGAAACCATTATTTGAAGGCAAATACAGTGATACAGTGAAAAAATCAACAGAACAAGAAATTGTTGAAACTTCTGAAATTCAAAATGTAAAAATAGTTTTTAAATTAATAGACAATAAGAAATTGTTTATTTCATATGAAAAAAATATATTTAATATTAAATTTGTTTTAGGGATAAAGCGACACTAGTTGCTAGAAGACAGAAATTTACTAAATATTCTTGGATCACATTTATTATTTCCACAGCTTTAACTGCAGCAATCGGTTATTCGTAAGTTTTTTCCGCAATATTAGAAATAAAAACAAAATTTAATTTAATTTTCCTTTATTTTTAAATTATTTCAATAGATATTATTATAAGCCTGCAAGGAAGAGAATGAGAAGGAATTATCACGTTCAACAGGCTGAAGAACTTTACGAATTAAGAAAAAAGAATGCAGAAAAAGAAGAAATTTAATTTCTAAAATATAAATAAAGATAAAAAAAACATTTTGAATTTAAAATTTCTATTTTATTCTTTAAAGGAAGTAGGGGTAGTAGTAAGAAAATGTGAACAATAGTTTCTTTTAAGTTTATATTTATAGCCATAAAAGTAATTTATGGTACATGGTATGTCCACAATAAGTTATAACCTAATAAATTTTCCATAATAAGATTTTTTAATTTATTCTTCGGGTTTATTCTCTAAATTTTCCTCCATAATAGGGAACATATTGAAGAACTAATTTCCAGTCAATAACGTATAATGCTGCTAGCCCGGAAGCTGCACCATACGTCATGAGTGTAGGTGTCCTGAAATAAAACATACTTTTAATGACTATTTTCTTAAATTTTTTCCAAAAAAAAATAGATCCTAAAGTAAACAATATCATATATTTCTTACTTTTAATATAAAAAATTCAATTCATTCAATTATATAATCTCTCCACTTTATCGAGTCGTCAATTTTAACTTGTTAGTATAAACTTTTAGTTAAATTTAACTACTTTACGGTTAACAGTAAAAAAAACCATTTTTTTAATTAAAAATGCAAAAAATAGATATTTGAGATAATTAATTAATAAATAATTAAAGAAAACGTAAATTAAACTTACCATTTCACTGCCAATTCAACGTGCCTCTTTCCAAGTTTCATTTTCGCCTTTTATCTTCTTCGAAATTTGAATAATATATTTATGGCTTCTGTAAGCACTGAATATCTATGTAACTTTTATTCTATTTTCTTAATTTTTTTTTGTAAAATTAGTAACAAACTTTGTGATGCTTTGTAAAAAGTTGTACAAATTTTACTTAGCAGACGACAAATAATTTTTCTTCAGCAGCGCCTCTGGTGTTGCTTCTTCTAACTTTGCTTGTTTTATCAACCCTTTAAAAATCAACGTTTGTTTATTTACGTTTACTAATTTTATAAAGTTTGAACAGATTTATAAAATATAATTATGAAACTCGGCAATTATAATATTACTTTTCATCCAAATGTGATATTAAAATAAATAAAAATTTAATTTGTTAGTAAGGTCAGTAAAAAAACCCTTTTTCTCAGTTTTTAGGTTATGTTGTTTTAAATAACTTTTTAAATTGTTTATAAAAAAATGTTTTCTTCTAATTAACAGCGGTATATTGAAAAGATGTCAAATTTTGGTAATTTCTAATAACTCATATACTTTTTTTTTTAGAAAGTATAAATTTTTAACGAGCAGACAATATTAAAATTTGAATTTACGAAATAAATTTTTACCCATATCAGTTTTGCTAAAATATAGTAAACATGGTAAACAATAATAAATTTTTGCTCAATGGACAATGCATTGCGCTTGCGTTATATTATCGACAAGTGCAAGCGGTGACAGGTTTTCGAACGAGAAAAGAACGAGGCAATGTTTGTCGAAACGGGAGCGGAGCAACTCCGCGTCCCCTACGTTAATATTTGCAAAAGAAACTTTATCATTCCATAAAGAATAATTATTGGAAAAAAGAATAAACAGTGTGCCTTAAAAATGCAAAATTCCTAGCAGTGGTGAAATCCGTCGATCCGCTAGATGAATGGCCTTGCGGACGACAGGAGTTGATGTGTTTATTCCCCCTTTTTTTTTTATTTAAAATAATATTATTATCGTGCGACCGAAAAATTGAAACTGGTTGTGATGCATAGAAAAAATGTTCTAAATGCATGAGAAGTTGTATTAATTTTTGGAAAAAAGCTGTCACAAAACCCCCAAGTAGCTATGGCAAATTTACCAGGAAGTTCAACAACCGCTTTTCCTAAGCCTCCAACAATGTTGGAGCAATTACTCGAAGAAATCAATTTTCAAAGGACAAAAGAAATGCGTCAACTACTCAAGGATGGTGAGTTTTAATCTATCTCTGGTTCGGGGTTTCCCCTTTGGGAGGGGTTGAATTCTGGCAAAAGTTCATCACAACAAATGTCAATAGTTTGCCGATAATCGACAGTTAGGAAATTACTTTATAAAACGTCAATCACTTCAATTTCCTTTTGTTTTTCTTTTACTATAAACAATGCTTACATTTTTACTCTTGTTTACAATGCTATTATTTAATCAATAAAATCACTACTATCAACCAATCTAACTACAGGAGAGTTTTGTAATTATAAACAAAACGATTTTCGTTTATTTTTCAAATAAAATAACATATTTTCTGCAGAAATACCAACTTTTGAAATGAAAATAAATTTTAAAATACAAAAATTTTGTTTAAATACCTTTTTTTACATTTTTTATACCCAATCTTGTACATTGTTTACAATAATTTAATTAAATAACGAATATTCACTTATTTTCTTAAATTCTTTTTGAAGCGAAAATATAAATATATTAAAAATTTACATATTTCCGTAATTAAAATGAGTCATAATTAAATGACCTATACGTTACGTTTTTCCTTATTCTATACTTGATTAAAAGATCTAAATGACATTTCTTGATATAATATTTACTAAAAATAAAAAAGAAAAAAGTTATCTGATTTTAATTTTGCATAATTTTAACTTGATGTGCAAAAGTGTCAATTATTATTATTTCAGGGAGTAAATTTATTAAAATTTGTGTAATATGCAAGTTGACAGAATAATTATTATGTAAATTAATTGCTGTAAGTTGATTATAATCAACGTGGGCTGACGATATAGAAAAGTAGAATTTATAGCAAAGACATAAATTAAATATAATTTTCTATAGATAAAAAATTCGAAACAGTTTCTTTTAATTAATCTTAATTTATTTTATTCTCATTCACACTTTTTATTTTGTTTAGCGATTTTTTACCGTTTTTTTCTGTTTCTCCTTTTCTTTTAATTTTCTTTTATTGTATTATTATATTTTATTACTGTCAATGTTATATTTAAAATTTTATTACTGGCAAGTTGTTTATTGTATTTTAAATTTATTATTAGAATTTTTTTGATCGTATTTTAATTTTATTACTGACAATTTTTTTGATTATATTTTAATTCTATTAATGGAATTTTTTTGATAGTATTTTAATTTTATTACTGTCAATTTTTTTGATTGTATTTTTATTTTTTTACTCTCAATTTTTTTAATTGTATTTTAATTTTTCTACTGTCAATTTTTTTGATTGTATTTTAATTTTTCTACTGTTAATTTTTTTTATTGTATTTCAATTTTTCTACTGTCAATTTTTTTGATTCTATTTTAATTTTTCTATTTTCTATTTTAATTATTGTCTTAATTAAAAAATATTTAAATTATTTTAATTTGAAAATATTGTATTTTAATTTTTTATTATTGTTTTAATTCCAAAATAGTTAAATTATTTTAATTTGAAAATTTGGTATTTTTATTCTAATTCTATTATTGTTTTATAATATTATTGTTTTAATTGAAAAATAGTTAAATTATTTTAATTTTAAAATTATTTTTCCTGCCGCATTGAAACACAATTAATAAATGTAAATAACTTGAAATAAAAAATTTTTTTTACAGATTCGGGATTTGTGATGTTACAAGGCACTACATATTGGACGGATCTTTTTGTTCGGCATTTTCTCTTTCAAGCTGAGCACACAATTGACGGTGATGATCTTCTATTTTTCGTGAGAAAAAAGCATGTCAAGACATCGTCGAGATATTTGCCGAAATTCGAGACAGAAGTAAATGTTTTTCGCAAGGACAGCAAAAAATTGCCAATCGGCGATCCAGATATTGATTGGGAGGAAACGGTTTATCTCAATTTAGTTGTTCATCAGTTTGATTATACATTAACACTCGCCACATGTACACGAACAAGCCCAAAGGAATTACAAGTAATAATTTACTTTTTAAGTAGTCTAAATATTTTTCTCTTGAATATTTTCTTTTTTTACTTCTTCTTTTGCTCTACGTTTTCTTTTGCTTTTGTATTTTTTTACTTCTTTTTTTGTTCTTCGTTTTTCTTGCTTTTGTATTTTTTTTACTTCTTCTCTTGCTCTTCGTTCTTTTTTGCTTTTTTATTTTTTTTCCCTTTCTCATTTTACGTCGTATATAATACTTTGCATTGTATACCTTTAATCTTTCGAGGAACTTGACTCATTGATTATATTTCTTTACTCATTATTGCGTCATTTGCATTTTGCAATAGTTTTTTAATACATTGGTAGAGTTACTGCTATTATAATTTATACTCATTAAAAAATAATACATTTTATGCTATTAATATTATTTATGATCAATTTTTTAAATTACTTAACAATTGTAAATAAACCAACGAAATTTAACTAGAAGTTGACTGAATGAATGAATGAATGAATAAATGAAGAAGAGGAATAAAAAATGAATTCGTTTAAATTGTGAAATTTTTTTTTTTTTGAAATAGGTATTGAGAAGGCATTCGCAGAAAGTTTACGCGAGTCCCAGTCGTCGTCGTATGGATGCCAAAGGCGATCTCGAGGAGATGACGTATCCACACATCTGCTTTATGGTAGATAACTTTGACGAAGTTTTCTGTGATATACTAGTCAGGGATGGGGAAATGGTCTGCGTTGAATTAGTCGCCTCCGATAGAAATGGTGCTATTCAAGGAGTTATATTCCTCGGATCCATCAGATATGATGCTTTGAAAAAAGTTTACGACGCCAGGGTAAGAATTTAGAAAATATTTAAAAATATATCTTGACTTAAAAATTTATCTTAAAATACAAATCTGAAGATAAATTTTTGTCAACTTTATCTAAAGACAGCAAATATTTAATTATCAAATTTTATTAAAATCTTTATTAAAGTCAAGTCTCAGCAGTAAAGTGGCACAACGAATGACATTCGGTCTTTTCTCGGGAGCAACTTCTCAACGTGTCGAATTTGTCCGAATGAAGGGTCCCCAAGGTATTTGAATAATTTATTTGCAAAAAATTGAATTATTTTAAATTATAATTTTTATTGTACTATTATTTTTATTCACAATGTTCTTTTTTCGAAAAAAAGGAAAAGGCCACGCAGAAATGGCAGTGACGAAACCAAAGGGTTCGGGTGCCGAGACACCGACATCGGAACCGGGATATTGTGCCACTGATCTTTGGGATGCAGACTGGGAGGATGCGGAGGATTTATTTATGTATCGTCATCAGCGAAGACTCTCGGATCCGAGTGCAAATTTAAATAATTTTGTGCGAGGCGGTTGGCGAACAAAACCAGAATCAGTGGCGACAAAAGCGAGATCTGAAAATGAAGGATTGGACTCAATGGCAAATGGACTCAGTGAAATTGAAGCCGGAGATGTTCGAGATGGTAACTAAAAAACAAAAGCAAATTGGTTATTAATTATTTGCTCTTTCTGCAAAAAAATATTCCACACTTAGTTTTAAAGAAACTTTTTGTTTCTTTACTTAAAAAATAAGGAGCAAAATTAATTACCTTTTTTTTTGGGAAAAAAAGTTAATTTTTTTATAAACGTTTGTCATTGTCTCTATCTATCTATCTCTTTCTTTCTTTCTTCTTTTCTCTCTGTTTCTCTACTTATTTTTTAAATTGTCGAGTCGATGACGTTCGTTTATCGTTTTACTGTACACTCTTTATCTCTATAACTTCACTTATCCCGCACCTATGCGAAATTATATTCTATTGCATGCGCGTTTTTTTAAGTGTTGTGCACAACATTTATTTATTTCTATATATATTTAAATGGTTCATATATATAAAAATAAATAATTTCTATAATTACAAAATACACAAGCTCTCTGCTCTCGCTGTTCATTCGAAAAGCAATATTAATTCTTTTATTTTTATTTGTCTAAATAAATAAATAATTTCAATGTTTTTACTATTTTGACTACTAAAAGTTATTCTTATCGAGAAAATTAACAATAAAAAGGTATAATTTTAATTATTTTCCCCCTTTTTTATAAATTAAGAACAATGCATTATTTGTAAAAAAAATTATTTAAATCGTAAAAAATACGAATTGAAGTACAAATATGTTTATGAATGAAATGATAATAATTATAAATTTGAAAATAGCAAATAAATAATTCCTGTTTTAAATAATAGTTCAATTTTTTTATTTCTGTAAATTAGAATTCTCTTTTTAATATTAATTTTCGAATGCACAGTTCTAGAGCACCATGATATACATCCATGGTTTTTCTTCTTGTTTGAGTAAATTTGTTTTTCGAATGCCCCTGTGATATTCTTCGCTTTCTGTAAAATATTTTTAAAATTATCTGTAAATATTTCAAAAAAGAAAAATATTTTAATCTTCAATGAAATTATTTTTCAACAACAAAATTTAACAAAACTTTTTGAATTTGAAAGTAATTGTTTATATATAGTTTATTTATGTAAAAATAGATTGAAATATGGAAATTTATTTATTGTAGTATTAATGTAAAATTTATTATAATATAAAGTTCACTATGATGTAATAAAATTAATTTATATAATATATTTATATATATATTTATTATATATAATATAATACAATTTTCCATTGTATAATGTACATTGATTAAAATAACAAAGTTATTTTGATTTTCATTGTAAAAATTCATTGATTTTAACTGATTCTAAAGTGATTTACGAATTCACAGAGGCTTTCGAGAGTCGTATTTCCGGTTTTGTAGATACTTTTAAGACGGTAAACGTGTTAAGGAATTAAATTTCTGTTGCACTTTTAGTTATTCGAAATTGAAAAAAAATTCTTGGTTTCTGTAAAAAAAAAATAGAAAGATTGGTTTGCCAAATAATATGGAATAAATAAAAAGCGCGAGAATTCCAAAGTCGAGGGGAAAGAAGTGTATCGTTTTAAATACACGCGAAATACACAAAGAAGAACCAACACCATCACCACAATTATTTACACACGAAAAATTAAAAAAAAAGTCCGTCCTTTTTTTGGAGAACACATGTCTTTAAAATAATTTATTGGCATGTCATTTTTTTCGGCTGTTTCCTTATTTGTAGCTGATGGACAGAATTGCAGTTGGGGCGGCCGGGGCTTATCATCGTCGACAACAACGACAACAACAACAACAACAACTACTACTACAAGTACAACTACGACTACTTCTACAACAACAACAACGACACCTCATTCACCAGGTAATCGTAGGAGTCCCAATTCTCGACGCAGAAAATCGCCACTTCTCTCAAGCCGGAATTCTGGTCGGAAGCAAAGGAATTCAAGGGATCGATCAGGGAAGGAAAGTTCACCAAATCACAAGAAGAACTACCGCGACACTCGCGGTGAGTGTGTCCTCGGGGAAAACTTCTCAAAAAAAATCTTACTTGGGTTCATTGAGACTTGTCTGAAACAATTTCGTTTTTATAAATTATTCAACTGATGAAAATGTGAAGGAAATTTTTGTAATTTTCACTTTTTGAATATTTACACTAAGTTGTAGAATTCGCTTCGTTTCGTAATTTATTTCTATTTCGAAATGTTTTTGATTATTTCCTTATTTTGAATTTCTGCAAAAAAGAATTAAATTTCAAAATCAAAATTATTTTTTGTGATTAAAAATACTTTTCAATAGTATAAATTTAATGGTAATGAAAATAAGTCTCAGTGACCCTTGAAGAATGCTAACGAAACCAAAAAAAAAAAAAACTCTGCAACCTTCGGCTGTAAAAAACTAAACACTTTGTCTCATGGACATTTTTGGATTTCGCGATACAGGAGTCCAGAATCATCCTCATCATCAGCAAACAATAGAGGTTGGCAGTGAACTTCTTGTAACTTCCGGTGCATCATTAACCGAAGACAATGTGAGACAAAAACTCGACGCTGGAGCAATTCTTGTCGATGGCAAGGAAGAATTACCCCTCGATGATAATTTGCAGAATCATCAACAACAACGACCATTTCTCGATGAACGTATGTCATTCGAAGAGGAAGAGGAGAATGACGAAAATAAAATTTCACCCACACCAAGAATCGCTCGAATAAATCTTGATCTTGTTCGCGGCTATGGTAGCGACAGTGATGATGCATTACGAAAAAAGAATCGTAATAAAAGCGAAAATGAATTTAATAAGGACAAAAATGCAAACGCAAAATTAATGCGATCACAAAGTTGTACACATAGACAAAGTGCGACTCTACCGAGACCAAGACGACGGCGAGCATTCTCAGGGAGTTTCGCTGAGAATCCCTTACCTCCACATCGCGTTACCACCGATGGAACGGCAATCTACTATTGGTGCGAGCTCCCGCGCCGCCCCGGCTCACAGGGTAAATTCTTCCCCGCAATAAAAACCTCTTTTAATCAGCATTCCTTATTCATTATTATATTTAAAAAAAAAAGACGCGCCTTCTCGCTGATTATTATTCAAAAAACCCTAGACTTCAGAATCAGATGTGCTAAATTCATATCCAATATTGTCGAATACGCCTCTTGTCAATGAAAGTTTTTCTTCAAAAAATCGTTTTTAATCAAAAAGTTGAGGGAAAATATTTATATTATTTTTTTTGAAATATTTACTACAATTTTCGTCTATTTGCAAACGATAAATTTTGCTTTTAATTGCAAAATTCCAATTTGACGAAAATATTTCTTTTTATTTATTTTGAATATTTTTTCTACAAAATAAAATTGTGAAATTCAATTTTAGAAGTGAATTTAAATTTAATTGGTTTAATCTTTTAATTAATTTCGTCAATTCGTAATATTCTGATTGTAATTTGTTTTAATTTGAAAAAATTAATATTAGGTATTAAAAATTACCACTAAAATCGATTTTTTACTTCTAAATTTTTTCAATTCGTAATATTCTGATTATTTTAATTTCCAAAATTACGAATTAAAATCGTATTTTCTACATCAATTCGTAATATTCTGATTGTAATTTATTTTAATTTCCAAAATTACTAATTAAAATAAATTTTTACTTTTAATTTTCGTCGATTCGTAATATTCTGATTTTTATTTGTTTCAATTGCGAAAATTTCTAATTAAAACCTATTTTTTACTTCGAATTTTCGTCAAATCGTAATTTTCCGATTTTTGCTTTTAATTTTCATCAAATGGAAAATAAGTTCAACTATATTAAATTTTATAAACTTTCATTTTCAAGAACGAAGAAAAATTTATTTCATTCGCTTCATATTTTGTTTTTCGATATTATAAAAGTGAGGAGAAAAAAAAATATCCTAAACACATTTATGAAGTTGCTTTTCCTGTTAGTTTATTAATTTGCTCGTGTGTATATTTACATTCATTAGTATCTATATGTGTATTTAATTATTCAAAACTAATGAGCTTAAATTTTTAGAGTTGCTGTGATTTATTATTTTTGTATCGACGCTATTTTTTCTTTTTCAAAAAACAATATAAAAAGTGCAAATTTTTTCACAGCATTATGTATATAATTTTTTTTTGTTCTGTACTCTATAATGTATATTTATCTAGATATATTTGCTTACTATTTGTTTTACAATTAGATATTTGCTTTTTATATCAATTTTTTTTTTGTAAAGCTTTTATAAAATCAGAAAGAATTATAATTTATCTTGTTTTTTTTTTTTTGAGAAGCTTATTCTTTAAAGAGAAAAAATGGATTTTCAATTTGTATTCTGAAGGCTTTTTTGCAATAATAGAATATTATGATTATATATTGTGTATTTTTTATGGAGTTTTTGTAGTTAATTATTTTTTGTGGCAGAATTGGACGACGGAGCCTATAATCCACTCTGGACGATGCGAGGTTTCACTCAGACTTTTCACTTCTGGAAGGAAACAAAACGAGCCCAGTCCGTCCCTCTCAATGCATTTCTAACGTATATTACTCTTCCTTGGTGGAGTATAGCTAAAGGTGAATTTTTTTTACTGTTAAAATTAATATTAATATTTTGCTCTTTCTTAAAATCGTTTCTTAATTTTTTTACTACAAAAATTTTTTTTTTAATATTATTTTTATTATAATATTATTAACAACATTATTAAGTAATATAATTAACAATATTTTTAAGTAATATTATTAACTAAACATGGAAAACGTAATATTAACTAAAAATAATATTAATAATTATTAAAATTAAAAAATTTCAATAAAAAAAAATTGTCATTTATGAAAGTCACAGAAATTTTTTGGAATAAAAAATTTAATTTTGTGAGGGTACAAAAAAATGGACAATAGGATTAAAAATTAAAATTGAATTAAATTCAAATATATTGCAACTGAAAATAATTCTATTTTTTTAAATTGTGAAACAAATTTTTAATAAAGAGCATAAATTAATATTTAATTAAATTTACAATTACCACTGAAATTCGAATAATAAACTAAAAAAATAATTTAATAAGTTTTGTTTTTATATTTTCCAGATATTCTTGACCATCGAGATGGGCCCATTCTGACATTTTAGCCAACTTTCGATGGAGTCAGTTCTTTTTTATTCTTTGTACATTCACATTACGAACATACAAAAAAACGTAATGTACAAAAAAATTAAAATAAATTACGTACGATTTACAAATATTTGCCTGGTTCTGACAATAACAAAACTCCTTAATTATAATTTTTGGTATCTTCTCATTTTTTTTATATTGAATTTTGCATATTTCAGATATTATTTTTTTTACAAAAGAAAAATTTGTTTAATTGTAGTATTTATAATTATAATTATAATAATTGTTACTTTAATTATTTTACGTTTAATAATTTGTATAATTTTGTAGTTGCATTTTTTATACATATTTAAAACAAAATTTATCAATTGAATTAAAATCAATTCCAATTTGCTATAAATTAGATTTTCATTTCATTTCTTATAATTTTGTTTAAAAATAAAAATTAGTTTTTGCTGAAAAAAATAATTTTTTTGATTAATTGCCAATAAAAATTTTATATTCATAACAAAATTTATCAATTGAATTAAAATCAGTTCCAATTTGCAATAAAATAGAATTTCATTTCATTCGTTTTAATTTGTTTAAAAATAAAAATTATAGTTTTTTGCTGAAAAAAATACTTTTTTTGCTTAATTGTCAATAAAAATTAATGGATAGAATTTAATTACTTGTCTAAACAGTTATTTTGTCACATTTTATGAAAAATAGAAATTAACACGATTTTTATTTTAAAAAAAGGAAAAAACACTTTGTTTTTGCATTAAAATTCGTTAAAATATAAATAAATCAGAAAGTTTTTTGCACAAAACCGAAAAAAAATTATCAGATTCAACTTGTATTTACATAATACAATTTTAAAAATTAAACCGTTATCATTTTATTCAATTAATTATTGGAAAATTAATAAAAATTAATGTGAAAATTGAAGAAAAATTGAAAATTTAAATAAGTTCGCAAAAATGCCTAAAGACGGCGTTAGTATCGCGTCGATCTATAACCTGTGAAGAAACCGACGAACACTTGTTTTGTGACTGCACATATGTGTATATCGCGCGCAGAATATATCAAGTTTTTTTTTACAGAAAAAAAAATCCGTGTTTACCTGTGCAAAGGTAAGCATATACTCTATTTAGTTCGCATTACAGTGACAACAAAAACACTCGTTTTCATTTGGTAAAATAACAAATTAATCCCGTGAAAATAACGGTTTCATGTCATTTAGTTATTTTTGCGTTTGACACTTGTTCTATTTCTCTCTCTCTTTCTTTTTGTATACACATTTAAACGGAAAAAATGGCCAGTGATGTCTGCAGTGTCAAGTATTTCATATTTCTTTCCAAATTTTCATAAATAGATGTTGTTATCATTCTTCACGAGAACCAAAACAAGTAAATTGTTAATGTGAAAAGAAGTGTCAAAATTTTGTCATTTAACTTTAAGGTTAGGTTGATAGTCAAAAACTATATGTTTTCTTGTCAAGAGAATATTTTATTATCGGGGAATTAAAGACAAGTAATTTGGGTGTTAATAAATATTCTCTTTAATATATTAAATTACATGCATGGGTTTATAATTTTATCTCGATATTGTATACAATTTAGAATTATGCGATGAGATTAAAAAACTAAATTCGGTCAGGTTTTTAATTATTCTCATAGGTATAAATAAACTTGTTTAATTTTACAGTACATTTTTCTTTATTTTACTTTTAACGAAGTATTTTTTATTAAATTTCACTTAGAGTGTCTTTTTTGTGTTTATTTCGCAAAGTTGACATTTTCTTGTGTTATTATTGTCTCTGACACACGTTTATAGTGCATTCGATTTGAGGCTTTGATTTCACAATAAGTTCTCATTTCGGGTGCATAATTTACGTAATCTTTGTGCTTGATCGTTACATGCATGTATTTTTCACTGGAAATATTGATTACAATTTTCTGGGTTATGCACGAAGAAATTCGTACACAATTTAAAATTTTACTCTCTTCGTTTTAAGTTGATGGAAAATTTCTTCATTCTTAAACTTGATTGTTAGTGACTAGATAGAGAAGTTAATGAACGAGAAAATAGTTTCTAATTTACATATCATATTTATATTGCTCAATTTTGTCACATTAATTTAGGAATTTTTCCAAGAAATTAAAATAAAAATACATCGAGATAATTGCCACTTAGCCTCGCTGTATTTTATCTGATTTTAATCGTTTCAAAAAAATAGATTTATATTTATCCATTTGTCATATTTTGATTAACATGTTTCATTGTAAATGAATAATTTTCAATAGATTTAGTTAATTTGGTCTTTTCAATTCAATTTGTCGAGTTATATTATCATTTACGAGCAGGTGTGAAAACTTAAAATTCCAAGTTGAATTTCGTAATTTTGATCTCTGTTTTTTTTTGCAATAATCGAGAATTTTCATATATTTTTAATTTATTTACTGTCGTCTGTGAATTAATTATTTTCGAAATTTGAATAGAACGTCCAAATGGCTAGTCTTCCAAATGTCCAGCACTGAAATACAAACACGACACTAAATACCAAAATGTGAAAAGAATAAAAATTCCACACCAATGAGATTCGGCTAAAAGAATACCTTTTCTTTTCGAAACACAAAATAAAAAAAAATTGCAAAAATGAAATTATCACCGGTGGATTATTTTGGTTTTGCGGCAATGGACCGTCGATTCAGTGCTCCGATGTTGCCTTGGATTATCAGTGAAATTAAAAGGAGAAACAAACGTGAAAAGGTTCGTATTTTTTATAATTATGTATACAAAACATTTTAGCACCCATCTCATGCTAATTTCTTCATCTAATACGGAGAAAAAAAATCTTGTATTCTCTATTTTGAAAATTAACTTTTGTAGAAAGAATAAAAATCTTATTGAAATTGGTTCCACTAAAAAAAATTGCCAAGGTTATATTCTATTACTTTCGTAATAATAAGCAATAATTGTACACACACAATACACACGAAAAATGTGAAATATATTTTTTTTAACGATTTAAAAAATTACAATTCGACACACACGGATTTAAGAAAATAAACTCTAAATCGTTTGTTTATTCATGAAAAGTTACATAATGAATGAATTACACTTGCATAACTAAAAAAAACAAAATGAAAAAAATAACAGATCATAAAATAATGATCAGTAATTTTCCCTTTTGAAAAATTGAGAAATTTTTCCAAATTTTTGATATTACTTAACAAAAATAAAGTATTCAATTTTTCAAAATTCAAGGGAGGAAATCGAATAGGACTTCAAGTAATAAAAATAGATAGATTTCAGGTAAAATAGATAAATAAAATTAATTTTATTACGAAATAAAGATATTTAGAGCAAAATTTACAGATTTTTTATAAAAGAGAAAAATGTATAATTATAGACTTTTTAATAGAACAATGAGATATTATCTAGATTTTTATATTCAATCACGAGGTCCTTATAAGAAAATGCAAAAGATGAATATTCTAAAATTGAAGTCTTTCAGAAAGACAATAGACTCGGTATCGTATTTTTTTTTTTATAAATGTGTAAAGATTGTAGGAATCGACGTCATCGCTTTTAATGGACGAAACGTTGTTATGATTGAGTTTGTGTGAGTTGACTCGATATTGGAACCCCCGCTATACGAATGTCACCCAAGAAACTGACATAATATCGAATAGGAGTGCCGCTGCAAAATAAATAGAAAAAAAACATAACGGCACTTTAGTAAATCATTATATTTTCTAACTCAAAATCGAGACACATCAGGGAAAATTCTAATTATCTGCTCTATTAACAAACTAATCTCGTAAAATGTAAATCATTATCATCTAGTTATGGAAAAACTGTTACAAGTTTAATTTTTTTTTTCTCCTAACGTTAGAAAAAAATAGAAAAAAATTTTTTGTTTTGAATTATTGGAGTATTAACTTTTACGTAGAATGATAAAAATATTTTTTTTTTATCATAATAACATTATAATTTTCTTGAAATAATATTCATGTCGAAGAACCCGTATGAATAAACTGAAATATTTGAACTTCTGTTGTTGACGAATAATTTCAATACTGTTTGTCTCATTTAATCAGGTGAATAAATTTTCTAACCGCAATAATCAGACTGAATTAATATTATAGAGAAAAAGAAAATTACATTTTTTTTGGTCTGCTTCACGTCTTTTTTTCAAGATCGATAAAAATATATATGTTCGTTTATATATTCCGTTTCTTTTTGCGTAATCTAAATATTTAATGCTCTATTTATTATTGGCGAGTAATACACGCACAAATTCATGAGAATTGGAAAATTAATAATCAAAATTTCGATATTTATTTATTAATATTTAACTACGATTTTCAAAATGTATTTATTTATTTATTAATATTCAGTTTCGAATTTCAATATTTATTTACTAATATTCAATTTTGAATGTCAATATTTAATTTATTTAATTTATTTAATTTGATAGATTAATTTTAAATGAGAAAAAAACAGTAATTTCGTTAAATGGAAAAAAAAACTGATTGCAAATTTAAGAAATAGTTTTTTCTTCTTTAATGATTTTCTGTAATGTCAGTCTTTAGCTAGAATGGAGCAGTTACGATTATATAATTCGCGAGTATAACAACCTCAGAATAAATAATGGAGAGTGCACCTGCGTTCCCGAGTGAACATAGAGAAGATTCAGGTATTTTATACAGGAAATTCCAAGCTAGGTCGTTGTTGTGGTTGTATATTTCTCACATTGTCCTTGAGAATTTCAGTAAAAAAAAAAAAAAAAGAAGAAAAGAAAACGGATGTACACATGTTTCGAAATTATTATTGACCATATAGAATTGTTCTTTTTCCATTCTTGACAATTTTTTTTCTCATCAATTAATAGGGAATATATTTATATAATTTTCCTTGTCATTCGGATCCTTTTAATAATAAATTTCGTGTGAATTATGTCAATATGAACGTTCTTTCCCTATTTTTTTTTAATTTTTAATGCAAGAAAAAGAAAATTTTTTTTTCCAGTAGATTTGGAATTTTATTCGAATAATCTTGATTTTGGAATTTTATTTCAATGTCTTTTTGTCTTAGTAATTTTCTAAACGTCGTATTTATTTGAAAAAAAGGAAACGAACGATTTTGATGTTTAAATTTATTTCTTTTTTTTAATTTGTTTTATGTTTTGTATTTTATTAACAAAAGGTGTTTTTTGTTTTAGGTTTCGATAAGTCGTGTACAATGCGAAAATTCATTATTATATTGTAATATTCAGCCTCTTCTGAACAATTTCTTACTCTTTGGCACGAAGTAGTTCGTGTTCTTGGGAAAAGTTAAACTTATTTTTTGCGCCTGCATGAGAGAGAGAGGCAATAAATTTAAATGCCTGAAAAGGCCTCTTTATACAGTTATAATACTTACTGATTGTAAACCCACATTCAAAACTCAATAATTTTTCTTTTATTTTTTCCTCTCTTTGCAAGTAAATAATTTATGTGAACGGATCTTTTGTTTCATTCAAAAGAATAATTTCGCTGCAGATTTTTTTTAATTAAAATTCATTAGCTCAAAATTTACTTCTCTACTACTTTTTATTTTTTTTCAACTAGTTTTTGTTGCAAAATAAATAAATATTGCGCAAAATAGATAAATATTGCAAATAAATATTACAAATAAATAAATATTGCAAATAAATATTGCAAATAAATAAATATTGTAAATAAATAAATACTGTAATTAAATACAGTAATTAAATAAATACCGCAATTAAACAAATTAGGGCACAATTTCATAAAATTGTGATCATAATTTTTTTTTCCATTTTTTAGACAAAGGCATTGACATATTTTTTTTTTTTTTTTGAAGTATTATTATCATTATTATGTATACTAATGACACTTTTTTTCTTCAGGTTAACCTTCTACTGGCTTCGGGTTTTATTTCGGCGTACGTTGCCAACAAAGAGGAACCATTGTTCAGGCATAATTTAAACAACACCTTGAAACCCCAATTGGTACCGCAAAGTGCACAGGATTCAAAAGGCGGCAGTTTTCTCTACACTCTAAAAGGCGATGATGGACTTTATTATTGTCATCTCTTCAAGACTAAAGACTCACAAACGGTGAGTGAATTTAGTTTTCCTTATTTAATAATTTCGTGTTTCTCGTATTTTTTTTCTTTTTATTCGGCCAATTGTGTCTCTGGTACTACACAAACTTTTTTATCGCTCTCACAGTTTTTCCATGAATCGTCAAAAGTATTCAAATTCAGAATAATGTGATTTTTCATTCGTAGTCACGAATTGACAATTTTTTTTTGTTTCGCATTAAAACGGATTTTTATTTTAAACTTTGTGGAAAAATTTGAAGCGGATTTCTATTTTTTTTTTTTTTATTATTTATAATAATTTGCTCAAATTTGTGTTTTTTCGTATTGGTAAAAAAAAATTCGGGTTTTAATTTAAATTATTGATATAATAATGTGCGAGTAATGGAGAAAAAAAATTAATAATTGAATGAAAAGATCATCACCTGACTTTGGCATTGGCAAAGAAACTTTTAAGTTTTTCTTCACTAACACATAAAGCGAGGTATTTATCGATAAATGATAATTGACAGCGAATACTTTTTGTGTGTATATAAATACAAGAGACTTGAAAAACGAGAAATTCTAGCTTGGTAATGATAACGTAATCATTTATTCAATTGGAACCTTTCATTTCCTGAATTGATAAATTCAAATCAATAAAATTTTATTCAGATTATTTTCTTTATACACTTTAAGGCATAGACGAAAAAAAGTTATTCTATTCCACTCGACTGAGCATAGAACTCGAAATTTCGTTGAGGTCAAAATTAATTAATTGATAATTTTTAATATTAATGTTGACACACATTTTTTATCTACGTCACTACATTATTTAAAAAAGCAGTAATTTTATTTTCTCACTTTTATAATTTTACAAAAAAAAAGTAGTTTACTAATAATAGTTTTATATTTCATTAGATACATAATCGATAAATTTATTCAGAATTATAAAGGTGAAAAAGTAATAGTGTTTTTTTTGTTAGTAGAAGAAAAATAATCATATAAACTTCAGAAGTTTATTATTATTTATAAAGATTCATTTCTTGGTACTGAAGTTTCTTGGCTTACATTTCCAGAAAAAGATAAACAATATATTTTTTTGTTTTAAAATTTAATCATTGTATAATAAATTTTATTTGTCTGGTTGATAAACAATTGGACAATTTTTTTTTTAAATTAAACATTAAAATTTTTTTTCCTTTATAAATTTATTTCTTTTTTTGTTATAAAATGATTTTTTTTTGACAACATTCTCTCTTGTTTTTAAACTTTTTGTTAAATTATTTTTACAATTATTATCATTATCACTATTATTATTATTATTATTATTATTATTATTATTATTATTACTATTCTTCTTCTTCTTCTTTTTATTATTTTTATAAATATTATTATATCAATATTATTATTATTACTATCATTACCAATTTTTATTTTATTTCTTTGTCCATTTTTATTATTATTATATTATTTTTCGGTTTGAGTTGTTTTCTATTTACCGTATTCACGAAAAAGTAATAAATTCCGAAAATTTATTCACGAAATATTCTACAATGTCATTTATTTTGAAAAACAAATAAATCATTATTTTAATTTCAAAGATGCATAAAGATACAAAAATTACGTTTTGTAAAAATATAAATTTTAATTTAAAATTTTATTAAAATGTGATTTTTTTCATGGTTTTAGAATAATTTTTCGTCAGAATTTGCAGCATTCTATATATATGTATATAGATTTGGTATATTGTGAAATATGTTTAAGACAAAAAAAAAAAAAAAAAGAAATGCAACACTTCAACTGCAAATTATATCTTTTTGATGTCCGTGAATGAAGTCCACTCACGCAGCTGGCTCAAGATATTTTCAGATGTCTTTGCCAGACAGTTTGGCAACAACAAAGTCAATTTCCTTGTACATGACTACGAATTTTCTCGCATACAAATCTTTTATCTATCAATTGCTTATAACAGAAAGAAAAAAAAGACTTAAAAAATTTTGATTAACAAGGAAGAATTATTATTTTTATTTATTTATAAAAATAAACGGAACAAGATATTTAGTAAACTTTATTATTATTATTATTTTTTTATTTTTTAATAATAAATAAAATAAAATTCTTATAAATAAAATAAATTTTATAAATTTATATCAGGAAAATAATATTAAAATAATAATAGTAGTATAATAATAATGATAATAAGAATAATAATAGTAATAATAATAGAAATTATTATTTTTATTCTGCTACAAATTAATGCTGGTTATAAAATTAATTTTTTTGTTTATTTATCATTTCGCCCTCTGAGGTGTATAAATATTTACAAGGCTCGTATTTTAAAGGAAGTAATCGAGTTATTTTTTAATTTGAAAAAAGTCTCATTCGTTATCATTGCAATTCAAAAAGTAATTTGTTATTTGCTTTTCATGAAATAGGATTTTGTTATCAGAAAAATTATTGTTTATTACGTAATATATTACGGTAGACACATTGTATATATCGTGACAGAACTCGCGTGATGATAACCGGTGTCACGTTTTACATTTTCTATCTCACATATTGTCATTACAAGTTAAAGAATTCCTTAAGCCGATTAGATATTTTAATATGTATATAGGATTATTTAATTGTGATTTAATTCGAAAAAGGGCAATAATTTTCCAAAAATAATTATTGACTCTTTTTTTCTGGTCTTTGTTTCTAAACAGTGTAGACAATAAATTTTTTTTTTAAATTCCAATTAGAATTGTTTTTTAAAATTAAATTTTGAAAAAGTTCTTTTTTCAATTAAAATTTATTTCCAATTGGAATTTTTTTTTTTAAATTAATTTACAAAAAATCTTTTGGTAAATTAGAATTTTTCCAAATTAATTAAAAATAATTCTTTTGGTAATATTAGAATTTTTTCCAAATTAATTCAAAAATTCTTTTGATGACTAGAATTTTTTGTAAATTAATTAATTAAAATAAAAATTAAAAAATAAAAATTAAATAAATTAATTAATTTCTTTTGGTAATTAGATTTTTTTAATTAATATTGCAAGAGAAATTGATTGAGTTGGTTCGGAATATTTTTTTTTGAATTTATAATCTTGAATATAAATTAATGTTGGCAGTTTCACACCCCAAATACATTGAATGATATAAAATGTGAGATTTCTTAATACAGAACCTTCTCTCATACTGTCAGTTTCTGCAGTGCTCGTGTATGTTTGTGTAAAAATAGAGGAGAGAATTAAAATAGACATTCCAAAAAAAGAAGTCGAGATGGTTATTAGTTTTCTTTTTATATAATTTATATATCGAGTTTAGAGGGAAAGAGTTTTGAGCAATATCTATATTTTTTTTTTTGATCGATGATCTTTGGCATGATTAAATTGGGAACTTATTGATTATATATTTTTGAGAATTTTTTCCTAACGAATTTCCTTTCGTTGCATTCATATATACCTAGAGTGCACGCGTGATCCTCAAAATAGAGACACGTGAAGCACACACTGACCACGCGTGAATCTAATGATCCACCGCTAACATCTTCTTTTTCTTCTTCTTCTTCTTCATCATCATCATAATTATCCTCTTTCATCTTGATTCTTAGTCACAAATTTTGTCCTTATTTTTAATAATATTTTTTCGTAATAAAATAATCAGAATTAAATAATTAATTAAATATACTCAAAATCGGGAATTTTTTGTTTGCCTCCTTGTTAATTGAAATTCTAATTTTTTGTTAAACTGAAGAAAATATTTTTATATTTTTTATATTTTCGTATTTTGAATTTAAATAAAAATAATTTTTTTTTTCGAAAAGTTCATTATAAAGTTAATAATTTCTGACAGTAAATTGATTATTGACAGGAAAAATTTTTTCTTTAATTTCCAATAATTTGATTTTGAAATTTCCCGGATGCAACTAATTTACTTAAAAATTTTCGCCTAAATTGAATTTTTCTCTTTTCTAAATTTTCTGTTGCAATTATTGCTATTAAAAAATCTACAAACAAATACAAAAAATTGTTGAATGAATTTAAAAAATTTTTTTTCTGTATGAAATATTTTGATCCGTTAAAAGAAATTCTAATATTTTTCTTTTATCGCTTCTTCGTAAAGTGAGAAAAAAAAAGAAAAGAACGTCACGCAAATTCTCTTCAAGATATTTTTTTTCTGTTTAAAATATAAGCAAAATGGATATAGAAGTAAAAATTCTTTGATATAATTTTTTATTTACGCATTCGTAGAATTTATGTTTTCTATAGAAGTAGAAATAATTATTAATGATTAATAATCTTTAGTTATTAGTTAAGAATGAATTATTAATTAACGATAAATGAAGAAGAAATTGTTAATGACTAATTAATCATTCATTATTAATTGAATAATATAAATAATTATTGATTATAATTATTAATTATTAACAATGAAATAATAGAAATAATTATTAATAATTCAACAATAAGTCGGTAACAAAACTAATTATTAATAATTTATTTATTTATTTATTTATAAATCAAAATTAATAATTAAATAATAAATAACAAAACTAATTGTTAATAATTAGATTAAAAAATAATTATTAATAATTTAATAATGACGATTTTATTAGAGTAATTGTATATTGATAATACACAATTAATTAATTTTCAATTGAATTATTGATTTTAATTGAAATTAATTGATCTTATTTTATTTTAATTGATACCACACTGGGGTGAATATTACGTTTGCCGCTAGTTTATCGAAATGTCATTTTTTTTTGTCTGACAAAAATTTAGACATTTCCTCGATTCTAAATCGTATATTTGAAAAAAAACAGAATTTAAAAAAAAATACTTTATTCTGAATTGATCGATTTAATAACAGTATAGAGATTATTCGATTTGATACTGACATATTTATTATATATATATACACACCAGGAAATTCTGTTGGGATTTACAAATCATTTTTATTTAATCGTATTTTACACGCCTACAAAAACATTTTACAATTGCGTTGTTCCCTGCTTTCAATCAAGTGTGGCAAAATTAATAACGA